GTTCCCTCTGGCTGGATGGATTTTAGCGTGATCCATCACTACCGCAGCTGGGGCTCTCCGCAGGCTCTACTTTTCTTTCATTATGGCTGTGTCTCACTCGCCAGTTTGCACCTTCCTTCAAACGTATTAATACAGATGCTGTTGCACTCACATGAATTGCGTTTAGACTTGGTAGATCACACTGCGTGTAGTGAATAATGTATTTGCATGTTACCCTCCATTACTTTGCACAATAAGATTGAAACTCCCCAAATTGCATATTCATTAAGGCAAAAAGTATAAATGAACAACAGATGCCATCTTGCACTTTGAAAGACGTCATTCTGCATGCACACCGTTAGTACATCATCTTACGTGCTATTTGTTGGTGATATCAAGTTTGCACACATTTTTACTCATGCAGACCTTTAAGTAAATCTGGCCCTTTGTTTGGACTCCAGGACGCATTGAAGACTGGTCAAATTTTTTGGAGAGAGCTCAAAGACGATGCCACCATCTGTCTCTTCCCCATCTTTGTTCGTTTCATCAAAGCATACAGGGTGAGTAAACGCAAAACATCTCAGACTCCTCCCACTCAACAGGGGGCGTGGTCTAACGTGGTCTGAAGCTCCTCCTAAAGGTACAGTCAGGACTTGTTATGAATTCATTGGTGTTGAAATGCTGACATGCTGGAGGCAGGGCCTATAACCCAAAAAGAGACTGTGTGTATTTACTGTGTTTTGTGTGTTCAGCTGGCGGAGGAGGAGAACGAGCAAAGGAGGCGCCAGGAGCAGTTACTGGAGAAACTGGAGCAGGAGGAGCAGCAGGAGGAGGAGGAGACCAAGGTAAGACTGACCTCTTACCTGTGGTGGTCAACACTCACTGATGGATCGTTATCCATTTTTCTAAGTGGACAAGTGGTTTCACTTAGAAAGTTAGAAAGTGGGCTCCTGACATGACACTCGTTACATGACACTCCTGATGTTACCTGACGCTCTTTTCATGACGCTCGTTACATGACGGACAGCCCTCAGTGTTTTTAAATGTCAAATTTAACCCCCCCCCCCGCCCCCCACAGTCTCCGTCCCACAGGGGGAAGCGGCAGCAGCAGGAGTTGCTCACTGAGCTCAGACGACGACAAGGGAAAGACAGCCGCCATGTTTATGAAGGGAAGGACGGCGCCATAGAGGACATCATTACAGGTATGTATGTCTTCATAGGGGAACAAGTGTTTCCCGGCTGTTTTCTGATTGGCTGCCTTTGTTTTTTTCACCTGCAGCTCTTAAGACCGTCCCCTTCACGGCCCGATCGGCCAAACGCAGCTCTCGCTTCTTCTGTGACCCCGCCCACTCTGAGGACACTACTGAGGATTACATCAGAGAGAGGGCAGGCTCCAGCTGAGACCACGCCCACTTCTAATCAATGACCAATTAGCACTTTCAACACTTCTGATCAATCGATGTGAACTGATGACATCATGTTTTGTATGTTATTTTATTGGTCCATTTGTGCACAGACCAGGTGCCCAGACATCACCTGACCTCTGACGTTTGACCTCTGACCTTTTAAGTTTTTGTTTTCACATCTGCTGTCTGTTCCACTCTGGCCTGAACGCTGTCAAACCAAACTCCATTCAAAAATCTGGCAACTTAAAGTCTGTTGACTGCACACAGCTGGAGGAGCAGCACCATGTACAACAACACACCTTGTTTCTGAGCGGATACTAAACAACATCAACAGGCCGATCTGGAGTCAGTCCGGCTCGAGATCCAACAACCTCAAGACAAGAAACACTCAGTGTCTGTTGTGGCGGTCTTGACCTTTTGATCATATCACATGGTCTTCCTCAGCAGGTGGTGTTTTCCATTTTTAGAGCCCTTTAGGAGCTCTTTTCCATGTGGGTAAAACATTTAGATTCAAGTTCATCCTAAAATCAAAAACATTTAAACATAAAGCTCCACCACAACTGGAAAATTCCATCTGCTATGTGGTATGGCTGAAAGACAATCTCAGCTACACGTTATTAAAGGACTAAATAAAGTTCCTTTCCCTTGACCTGGAGGACAAATGTCCTCGGGTTGGGATGAATCCGTACGATGAAGACATGGTTACAGAAACATGATGTTCCTGCCCGAGTTGTGCCTCATTTTAAAAAAACATTATCAACAAACTGTAGGCCGGTTAAATGTAATGTTCAGAGTCTGGTGTTGTTAAGGTCACATGTTCACCTCACAAGTGCTTTACCAACAGCTACGACTGCAAAGACTTTCCAGAAGGTTCTGGCTCTGTTCAGTCGGTGAGGAAACTTTCAGCTAACCTACATGTCAATCATTTCTTAGAAACATTCTGAAACAAAGGTCAGCAGGATTCTGTTCCAGCCTCCGAAGTCCTGGTTCAGGGTCAGAAGGTCTGTGGTTCTTCTGGGTTCCTAAAATCTGTGTCTTGTACAGGGTTCTAATCCTTTCACTACATTGTGTACTACTGTCTTCTACTGTATTTAACAGCCTTACCAGAGTCAGGGATACACAGAGTCTGGCACGTTTCTTAGCCCCCTCCGACGACAAACAGGAAACAGTGTTATCATAAGCATTAGCATTCACAAACAGAGGGTCAAACTGACCTTTAGAGCCAAACTCTGTTTATCCGTCCTCTGGCTGGACCCCCCTGAAGTCCTGCTGTTAGCCCGTTAGCATAGCACCAGACCCACTCCAGCACAACTTCAGTCTCCAACATGTTTTATCCAGTAACTTAATGGAAGTATTTGAATGCAGTTTGAAGCACCGCAGTGAGGGGGCGCTGTAGCAGACAACCGAACAAGGACCGTCTTCACCCGCTCCAGGTTTGACTCCACACAGCTGAGAGTCCGGACGGATTCATGAAGGAGTGCTGCTGAGGCTCTGGACATGGACACCCCTGGACCAACGTGGACGGACAGACCTGGACAGATGGGAACAGGCCCGCAGTGCTGTCCTCCAGTGTTTCTGGGGTCCCCGTTTGCCTGTCCGGTCCCAACAGTCCTGCATCAACACTTCCTCCCCCTCCCGTCCCTCACCCCGTCCCCCTCTTTATTTCAGACCTTAAACCATCATTTCAAGTCAAAACAAGAGAAAAAGTGAAACAGCACAAGTTTTCTACGTGTACATACATTTTCTAGAGAGCTGTGTAGCGTTGCTCGTACTGTTTGGTGTTTGTTGGATGTTGGTGGTGATTCTGCACTTGGTGGTGTAAATAAAACGCACCCTGTCTCCATGACGCTGCCGTCTCTCACTTTAGACATCTGATGCTTCAGTTTCTCAGTGCTGTATCAGCAGCTCGTGGACCCGAACGAGTCCTCGACTTCCACATGAGGCTCCCGGAGGGGCTGGATTCTGATTTCTGATGTAACCAGCTCTTGACCCGGCCCGGTTCTGTCCTCCGTCTTCCATTGCATATCGTACCCTCTTAGGGTAGCCGGTCGTCATAGCAACGCCGAAGGAAACTGCCGTGAAGTAGTCTTGTTTGAGTTTAATGAAGAGATTCAAGTTCACACAAAGTTAAAAAGGAAGTGGATGAAGCCGTCGGGTCCTTAAGAGAAGTCCAGCACAGAGAAAGGACCACAGACACATGTACTGAAAGTTCCCCTGCAGCCACAAAGTAGCCGTGGTTCCACCTCAGCTCACTGGAGGTACCAGATGTGCGCGCTGGGAAAGTTTTAAGCCTTTCATGCAGGAATTATTAAAAACATTATCGAGGTTCTTTTGAACAGCTCTTGCAGCACAGGAGTAAAATTCAACTCATGTTTTAACGTCATGTATTTAACAGCACACAGGTAGCATACTTTCATCTCAGTGTGTCAGAGACATAGTACTACTTCAGACTTGTTTCTGTACAGTACGTGAGTACAACACGTGTTTTATTTGGTGTGAAAAAAGTGATAGTATGTGAGATGCACGTCTGTTTTGTTATAATTCATCACATCTTTGAAAAGTAGGGCAGATATGATCACAGGCACACGTACAGAAACTACATCTCCTCTGGATTTTAGTTTGGAAAAATAGAACGGAATAGAAGAGAGTATCCACGGTTACAGAGTTGATCAGTAAAGTGGCCTGGAGAACATAACCACGGTTCCTTAATAATAACTGTGGACATGAAGGGTTCTTGAAACACCTGGCCACATTCTTCTCTCCGTTTATCCATTTAGAAAAGCTGTGTCCTCGTCTCTTTTCTTTGACCACGTTAAGGACGCTGTCCCGGCAGGTTTGTTTTTAGGATGCGTTAGGGAGCGTTCTCCGGCGTATCGAGTATTTATACGCACTCTATTCAGATATTGTTATGTTCATTCTGTGGTACTTCATTAACACGGTGTGCCCTGAAGTCACATTACCCACAATCCTCAGCCGCTGGTCCCAAGTTTTATTCAAAGTTACAAAACAATGACTGATTCTGATTGGCTGTTGAAAATCTGCCAGTTTCCTTGTTTCTGATTGGTTGTCAGTCTGTTCATTTATTTAGTAACAAATATTTAGCATGAAGTCACGATGACATTTTATTGATCCACTTAATAACTATTGATCATTAACAGCTCTCTGACAGGATTAATCCAACAGGTGATCACTTCCTGCAGTTGATCTGTGCTGTGATTGGCTGTTCAAGTCTCCTGAAATTCATCCAGAGAATGAGTTTGAAGGACGACCTTTGACCCCGAGTCCTGTCACCTGCGCGCGCACACACACACACACACACACACCTGTCAGCATCACCAGGTGTGAGACAGGGAACACAGGTGAGTCTGTGAAACAGTCTTACCCTGAAAGTGTCTCCGGCCAGCGGCTGCTGTCTCCTCTCTGATTGGTCAAGGCCCAGACTGGCTGAGGTCACATAGAGGTCAGAGTAGTCCGGACCTCCGAAACAACATGAGGTGGTCTTCATCACCGGCAGAGAGACCGTCTGCAGCCGAACACCTGAGACAACAGGTGGATCATCAGCAGCAGCACTTTGGAACAAGGGCACATACAAAACCTGAACCAGCAGAACCAGTAGAACCAGTGCTGATGGTCTCTATCTTCATCCATTTAGAACCTGAACCAGAATGATCTGTACTAGTACTAATGGTTCTAATGATGGTGGGCTTCAGTTATTTAGGACACATACTGAAACCTCATCCGTCCTCCGGTAGAACCAGTATAACTAACCAGTAACAGGGTCGATGTTAATGACCTGTCCTCCAGTTTAACCAGTATAACTAACCCGTCGCAGGGTCGATGTTGATGACGCGTCCTCCATTGTAACAGGCCACCCAGAGACGACCTTCACCGTCAACCGTCATCCCGTCTGGAAGCCCCTCCCCCTCCTCCATACGGTACACTACACGGCGGTTACCTAGGCAACACATCAAAACATAGTATAAATAACAGTATTGTGTCACTGATTGAACAGCAGCACAACTTTCTCATTATGTATATGTTGTATTTGTATTATAAAACCAGAAATACTGCAGTACAAGTACACAGTTACCGAGGTGTCCCGTGTGTGAGTTGTAGTCGAAGGCGTCAACGGTCAGAGACAAACTGTCGATGTAGAAAAATGTCCGGTGATCAAGAGACCAGTCCAACCCGTTAGATATGTCCACCTGAGAGACAGATGGGTCAGTCCAGGTGACCGACAGGTGACAGACAGATACTGACAGGGGATCTTACCTGGTCCAGGTGTCTGGTCACAGTCAGGTCAGAGGTCACAGAGAACAGGGATCCTTGTTGTCTCTGAACCTCCGCAGGTCGGACCTCCTTCCCCATTGTACCTGAAATACTATACAGTGTTACCATGGAAACGCTACTTCAGAAAGGAAGGTAGACAGACAGGTGACTAGAAAGATGACCAGACAAGTAGACAGACCAGTAACCAGACAGACAGGTAAACAGGGAGGTAGACAGGTAAACAGACCGGTAAATAGAGTAGACAGACGGGTAGACAGAAAGGTGACCAGACTGACCTGCCAGCAGGCGTCCTATCGGATCGACCTTCCCGTCATTCAGTCGGTTGTTCGGTTTGTCACCATCAACCTCCACCAATGATGTCATTGTCTGAGTCGACCAATCAACGGCCACAATGCTGCGACCCACGCCTGCAACATAACCACCTGCCCTGCGAGGAACCACGAAGCCCACTGTGTCACCTGAGGATGGACGCGCAGGTGTGATTAATACTTCATTGATAAACTCAGCTGAATGTTTCCTACGTGCTGATTGGGTGACCTGTCTCCACAGACTGGATCTGATTGGTCGCTGGGCTCCAGCGGTGGATTTTCTGTCCAGCGATGTCAACAAACAGCAGCGTCTGTTCTAGCTCCTCCCACACCGGCCCTTCACCAATCAGAGCGCTCGCCTTCACCGCACACTGCACCTTCACTGATGACATCATCTGTACCTGTCTGAACGGACCAATCAGAGCGTCAGCCCGTGTAGTGGCTATATCAATCTTCTAGCCCCGCCCGGCACTAGAAGAGTAGTTTTAACGCACCTTTGTTCCTCTTCGCCGATCCAGCATTCGAATAATAATTTACCATCCTACAGAAAGGAACCTTGATCCTACCAAAACATTGTAGCTGAATGCACGTGTGTGTAAATCAACTATCAATAAATTAACTCAAAAATGATGTCAAATAAGGTGAGACATGCTGATCAGCTAAAGCCGTTTATTAATTAGACCACGCCCACAGTTACTATGGTCAGGCTGATTAGCCAATCAGAGGCCGAACTGTCCATCAAAATCAGTGAATCAGAACTACAACCAAAAATACGGGAAGTCTTGAAATAATAACTACTGTTCTTTAAATATAAACAAAAAAACGTTTCCATGGAAACAACAGGGACACTACACTAAAATAACACATCCTAAATCTGAATGAGTGAAATAATCTCATTAAATACTCCTTTCTTTACATAGTTGAATGTGCTGACAACAAAAATACACAAAAATTATCAATGGAAATCAAATTTATCAACCCATGGAGGTCCTGCACGGTGTTGGGCTGTAAGCACAACCCCCACCTGTGGACGTCGGGCCCTCGTACCACCCTCATGGAGTCTGTTTCTGACTGTTTGAGCAGACACATGCTGGAGGTCATTTTGCAGGGCTCTGGCAGAGCTCCTCCTGCTCCTCCTTGCACAAAGGCGGAGGTAGCGGTCCTGCTGCTGGGTTGTTGCCCTCCTACGGCCTCCTCCACGTCTCCTGATGTACTGGCCTGTCTCCTGGTAGCGCCTCCGTGCTCTGGACACTACGCTGACAGACACAGCAAACCTTCTTGCCACAGCTCGCATTGATGTGCCATCCTGGATGAGCTGCACTACCTGAGCCACTTGTGTGGGTTGTAGACTCCGTCTCATGCTACCACTAGAGTGAAAGCACCGCCAGCATTCAAAAGTGACCAAAACATCAGCCAGGAAGCACAGGAACTGAGAAGTGGTCTGTGGTCCCCACCTGCAGAACCACTCCTTTATTGGGGGTGTCTCGCTAATTGCCTATAATTTCCACCTGTTGTCTTTTCCATTTGCACAACAGCATGTGAAACTGATTGTCAATCAGTGTTGCTTCCTGAGTGGACAGTTTGATTTCACAGGAGTGTGATTGACACAGAGTTACATTGTGTTGTTTTAGTGTTCCCTTTATTTTTTTGAGCAGTGTATTTACTATAGAGTATTACAGTACTACTCATCCTAATACTACTGCTGCTAGTACAGAGCATGGTTACTGCACATTGTACTGCTGTGTCTTGGTACTTGATATGACACTGTTATACTAGAATCTACTGCAGTATTGCAAAGTACCACTCAGTGCATCATAGTACTACAGGTACAGAGCGTAGTGCTGCTGCTCGAAGTTTTAGATTACAGGACTTGCAATAGTTCGAGGTGAGTTAATGTTTTAACTGTTGCTGACTCCACGTTTCTCTCTCGCCAGACTCCATTAACGATCCGTCCGTTTTTGTTGCTGCCTTGCTTGTTGACGCATCACAGATCGGCTGGACTCTTCACTCCAGACTTCATGAATATTATGGATTTTAATTAAATCGGCCGACAAATAAAAGCCCGCAGGACGTCTCGTGATGACTTTCAGGACCAGATCAGATTCAGGTCAGCTCCTGTCTGCCCGCAGCAAGTGCTGGAATACTGGTTGTAACTGAGCGCAGTTTGGTGCGCGGATGAACGCCGACGTGAGTCACGATCACTCACAAATAACTTTATCCCACTGAAGTGATCCTCAAAGGCCCGCTGGGCTCCAGGTCAGGACCGATGTCTGGATGGAGTCTGGCTTCATTATACGTGCTTTTGACACATGAAGTACGCCTTCAGATAACCGCGTGCTTCAATAGGAGGCACACACAGGACAGCCCTGTGTAACGTACTTTAGCATACAAGTACACAGATTTAAACCCTACCTGCTGCAGTACTTCTCGCTGAAGTATTGTAGGGTAGATGCAGTACTTTCAGACGGATCCAAAAAGTTTATTGTGTTGCTTTGCTGCAGCTGACGACCTGGAAGCTCCGCCCCCCCCAAACCGGCTGACTCTGACTAAACGCCCCCGATTGAAGTGCTGAGCCAGCAAAGTGAGAGACCCGTCTGATCAGTAATCGATCATCAAAACTGCTGAGGTTCATAAACCGCCACAGAGCTCAGATCAGACTCACTGATTAAAGGATTTCTTTAAATCTGAATCTATAATTATTCATGCTGCTGTGAAAGTGATCAGTAGAATTATTCTTTTACTCATCAACAACTGAAAGCTCTCTCCTCCTGCTCCTATCAGGCTCAACCATTTGATCCTGTTCAATCATCTTTAAAGACTGACTCTCAGATCAAGTTTGTCGCCGCCGTGTGGCAGAACACAGAACTACACGAAGGATCCAGTGTAGGGCATTTCTTCCACACCTGGTTCCTGGTAAACTGGAGCAGGTCTTTGGTTCTGGTCTGTACTGAACCTGGTGGAGAAATATTTACAACATGATGCATGTGAGGACCATGAGATGTGGCTGAAAGCTCCAGAAACAACACGTCATAAGAATAAAGAACAAAATCCATTTTTACAAAACAAGAAAAAGAAACAAGGAGGAAACGAAACCAAACAGCTTTTCAAAATAAAAGCACTTTTAAAAACGTTTACAAGAAATGACAGATATCTCGTTGAAAATAAGAACTAAATATACACATCAAGAGAAAGTGCAAGAAACACTTCCTGTAGCTTTTCACAATAAGACATCCTGCTTGGTCTGTGGTGCAAAGCTTTTAATGTGAAGGAACAACAACAGGAAGAGTTCAGCTTCTACAGAAAGCAGTTCTGATACAAACAGAACGTTATCAGCTGAACACAACTCCAAACCTCTGGATTCAACACCGGCAGAGCTCCGGGCCCTGGCAGAGCCCCGGACCCCAAGCTGAAACATAGCCTGTGCTGTGTTGCTGCGTGTGATGCCACACGGAGAGAAACCCAGCTGTTACTGTTGCTGAGCTCTGATTGGACAATCAGTTTGGGGGAGGGGTTCAGAGAAAACCTGTGCAAGTAGATTTTCAGGCGAGGATGAAGAGTTGCAAAGACCACCACCAAAGTCCAGGAAACCCACGTGGGTTAACTGGACCTGAAGAGACACAGGGGGCAGTGAGGGACGGGGTTCAGTTCCTGAAGGTCTGGAGGGTTTTTATTGTTCAGGCAGAAACACAGAAGAATAAAACATGTTCATCAGTTACATTAGCTGGGTGACCAATCATTAACACACATCACTTTTTGGCAGCAGAGGCTCTGCCGTCTCTGAATGGAGGATCACTTTTTGGCACGTGGGCTCTGCTGTCTCTGTACATACACTCTGAATGGAGTATCACTTTTTGGCAGCAGAGGATCTGGCTCGGTTCAACCTGTCAATCAGCAGGTGGTCGGAGGTGGAGCACCTGGAGAGGACCGCCCCAATCTCTGATTCGTTCTTGCGTTCGATGGCAGCATCCGCCGCCCCCTCCAGATCACTGACAGGAAGAGAAGCAGAGTTACCTGGGTGGTCAGATCTCACCTGTTTGATGATGTCAAAGCTTTTAGGAGTCTTACCTGATGGCAAGGTGAGCTTTGACCTTCTGCTCAGGAGTTACCTTGGAAACGTACTTCTTCGCTTCATACTTGTTGTTACTCTTCATGCAGACTTCAACAAATGCCTGAGGAGACAAACACTAAGCATCATGGGAAATGTAATTCTATCTTTATTTAAAATAAAGTTAAAGTCAGTTTGATAATCTTTATTTAAAATGACAGGCTGGCAAGGGGTACCAGGTAGCCAATAGGAGACTTCTTGCTCTTTGAGAACTTCTCTAACTCCTCCCACTCCTCCTTCTCTGCCAGAGACTTCAGCTTTAACCACCAGTACCTGCACAGGTAGAGACACAGGTGAGACAGAGACAGGCAGTCAGACAGGCAGTCGGACAGGTGGAGTGACATTGAACAACATGTATGTTAAAACATGAGTACTGAAAGCAGCTGAAGAGTGGTGAGAGAGGGAGCTGCAGATACAGCAGCTGAAGTGATGAAAGCAGCTGAAGAGTGGTGAGAGAGTGAGCTGCAGATACAGCAGCTGACGTGATGAAAGCAGGTGAAGAGTGGAGAGAGAGTGAGCTGCAGATACAGCGGCTGAAGTGTTGAAAGCAGCTGAAGAGTGGAGAGAGAGGGAGCTGCAGATACAGCAGCTGAAGTGATGAAAGCAGGTGAAGAGTGGAGAGAGAGTGAGCTGCAGATACAGCGGCTGAAGTGTTGAAAGCAGCTGAAGAGTGGAGAGAGAGGGAGCTGAAGATACAGCGGCTGAAGAGTGGAGAGAGAGGGAGCTGAAGATACAGCGGCTGAAGAGTGGAGAGAGAGAGAGCTGCAGATACAGCAGCTGAAGTGATGAAAGCAGCTGAAGAGTGGTGAGAGAGTGAGCAGCAGATACAGCAGCTGAAGAGTGGAGAGAGAGTGAGCTGCAGATAAAGCAACTGAAGTGATGAAAGCAGCTGAAGAGTGGTGAGAGAGTCAGCTGCTGATACAGCAGCTGAAGTGATGAAAGCAGCTGAAGAGTGGTGAGAGTGAGCTGCAGATACAGCAGCTGAAGTGATGAAAGCAGCTGAAGAGTGCTGAGAGAGGGAGCTGCAGATACAGCAGCTGAAGTGATGAAAGCAGGTGAAGTGATGAAAGCAGCTGAAGTGATGAAAGCAGCTGAAGAGTGGAGAGAGAGTGAGCAGCAGATACAGCAGCTGAAGAGTGGAGAGAGAGGGAGCTGCAGATACAGCGGCTGAAGAGTGGAGAGAGAGGGAGCTGCAGATACAGCAGCTGAAGAGTGGTGAGAGAGGGAGCTGCAGATACAGCGGCTGAAGAGTGGAGAGAGAGGGAGCAGCAGATACAGCGGCTGAAGAGTGGAGAGAGAGAGCGCTGCAGATACAGCAGCTGAAGTGATGAAAGCAGCTGAAGTGATGAAAGCAGCTGAAGAGTGGTGAGAGAGTGAGCTGCAGATACAGCAGCTGAAGTGATGAAAGCAGCTGAAGAGTGGTGAGAGAGTGAGCTGCAGATACAGCAGCTGAAGAGTGGAGAGAGAGGGAGCTGCAGATACAGCGGCTGAAGAGTGGAGAGAGAGGGAGCTGCAGATACAGCGGCTGAAGAGTGGAGAGAGAGTGAGCTGCAGATAAAGCAACTGAAGTGATGAAAGCAGCTGAAGTGATGAAAGCAGCTGAAGAGTGGTGAGAGAGTGAGCTGCTGATACAGCAGCTGAATTGATGAAAGCAGCTGAAGAGTGGTGATAGAGTGAGCTGCAGATACAGCAGCTGAAGTGATGAAAGCAGCTGAAGTGATGAAAGCAGCTGAAGTGATGAAAGCAGCTGAAGTGATGAAAGCAGCTGAAGAGTGGAGAGAGAGGGAGCTGTAGATACAGCAGCTGAAGAGTGGAGAGAGAGGGAGCTGTAGATACAGCAGCTGAAGAGTGGAGAGAGAGTGAGCTGCAGATAAAGCAACTGAAGTGATGAAAGCAACTGAAGAGTGGTGAGAGAGTGAGCTGCAGATACAGCAGCTGAAGTGATGAAAGCAGCTGAAGAGTGGTGAGAGAGGGAGCTGCAGATACAGCAGCTGAAGTGATGAAAGCAGCTGAAGAGTGGTGAGAGAGGGAGCTGCAGATACAGCAGGTGAAGTGATGAAAGCAGGTGAAGTGATGAAAGCAGCTGAAGAGTGGAGAGAGAGGGAGCTGCTGATACAGCAGCTGAATTGATGAAAGCAGCTGAAGAGTGGTGATAGAGTGAGCTGCAGATACAGCAGCTGAAGTGATGAAAGCAGCTGAAGTGATGAAAGCAGCTGAAGATTGGAGAGAGAGGGAGCTGTAGATACAGCAGCTGAAGAGTGGAGAGAGAGTGAGCTGTAGATACAGCAGCTGAAGAGTGGAGAGAGAGGGAGCTGTAGATACAGCAGCTGAAGAGTGGAGAGAGAGTGAGCTGCAGATAAAGCAACTGAAGTGATGAAAGCAACTGAAGAGTGGTGAGAGAGTGAGCTGCAGATACAGCAGCTGAAGTGATGAAAGCAGCTGAATAGTGGTGAGAGAGGGAGCTGCAGATACAGCGGCTGAAGAGTGGAGAGAGAGGGAGCTGCAGATACAGCAGGTGAAGTGATGAAAGCAGCTGAAGTGATGAAAGCAGCTGAAGAGTGGAGAGAGAGGGAGCTGCAGATACAGCAGCTGAAGAGTGGAGAGAGAGGGAGCTGCAGATACAGCGGCTGAAGAGTGGAGAGAGAGGGAGCTGCAGATACAGCAGCTGAAGAGTGGAGAGAGAGGGAGCTGCAGATACAGCAGCTGAAGAGTGGAGAGAGAGGGAGCTGCAGATACAGCGGCTGAAGAGTGGAGAGAGAGGGAGCTGCAGATAAAGCAACTGAAGTGATGAAAGCAGCTGAAGCGAGTTTAAGTTACGGAAGCAGTTCCTGTCAGGACCTCAGGACCTCCTGTCCCGCATAACTCACCTTTTGTCGGGAACTCTGAAGTCTCTGTAAAGCTGCTCTGCTTGTTTGTGGAGTCCTAAAGCCAGCAGAGCCTCCATGGTTGCCTGCAGGAAGTGACATCACAAGGCAGGTAGTGACTAAATCCCTGACACAATTTGTAAGTGCTAACATTCATTCAAACTAAGAAACAACCCAGAGGTCTTAACGTTAATGTTTAGGAATAGTGTGGCATCGTCTGCATTGTGGTTGACAAGTTCTGTATTTCACACATCCTGACCTGAACACACAGGACTGACTGGAAAACAGATGACCCAGCCCTTTTCTGAATCTGTAGAGACAGAACAAGTAGCCCCACTCCTTTATGTACCTGTAGAGACAGTCCAAGTAGCCCCGCCCCTTTCTCATCATCCAGTTTTCGTTGGACACGAAGGAGACGCATCTCGTCCTCTGTGGCCTGAAGAGAAATATTTAAATTAATGCTGTGAATAATGAGGTTAAATCAAAGATGACATGAGCTTGTTGTATCTGCAGCTCACTCTCTCACCACTCTTGAGCTGTTGAACTGTTTCCTGTCCACTTGCAGCTCGTCCTACAAAACCAGTCCATGGTATCTTTTATTATCTGGCTTTGTTTTAATCTAAAAGATTAAAGTTATACCTTTGCAGCAAACTCGTTCTTCGCCTTGTTGTATTCATCTACAGCACTCTGCAGGAGAGACAGACGGCTCTCTAACCTCTGCAACCAGAGTCAAAGACAGAGACCATCAGAGAGAAAAGGGGATAGAGATCCAGATGGTTCTAGACATATAAATTAAGTCTGTTATTTGATGTGAATCAGAATCTTGGGACTTCACCATAATCAATATTTTGGCAAGTCAATGCCAAAATTGTGAAAACATGACTGTAGGGCTGAAGCGATTTATCGAGAAAATCAAATAACTATTACTGAAAAGCATCAATGCTTTGTTTAATCCATTTAACTATATACAGCGCATGGAAACTCTTAATGTTGCACAACGCCCTCACGCTGTGGAAAGGTGAAGACGACAAGATTTGATGACACAGATTACAAAATGGAGGAGAGAGAAAATAGAGGGGGAGGAAGAAGACACAGAGAGAAAGACAGGAAGTGTCCAAAGTCTGGGATCATTTCAAGCTAACAGAAAACAGCAGCTCTGTACGGAGTGTCTGCTGTAAGACAGAACCCACGGCTTCAGCATCTGAGCAGAAAGACCGGTCCAGCATCCAGTCCATGGAGCGGACTCCAAACAAGCTAACGTTAGCATTTAACCTAAAAGGTAAGCAAAGGTAAGGGTCGGTTCTTAGCTGGAAATGTGGAAATGTGCTGACCAATTAGTCTCAGAGTTTGGGTTTGAACGTTACAGTGATCCGAGTTACACAGCTGATCCCAGGACCGGGGGCAAATTTATTATCTGATTACTCGCTGAATTTGCTGGAATAGGTGAAGTTAGTTTCAATATTTAACATTTGTTGTTTTTTTTGCGGCTGTTACCTTCAACAGCTCCGTGTGAAAGCCTCCAGTCCTTGGAGGTGTTAGAGAACTGATGTAGGCAGACGTTTCATACATTTGCAGCACTAAGAACTAAATGTTTGTCCAACGCACCTGCTCCACTAGGAGGAGTTAGGGACAATACGGTCCATTTCAATCATCAATAACGGTTTAGTTTTACAACATAAAATCTCAAACCACTGCCAGTATAGACAGAGACCACCTTTAAACATTTCACACCTGAGAGTTTGTAATGTTAATTTTTAGTACATGCTGAAAGTACATGAGAGTTATTGTATAGTTTTCACTGTGGTATCGAGTAGAATATCGAGAATTGTGGCATTTCACTGGTAATGGCATTGACCAACACATTTCAGATAACGTGACGTCTCTGTCAGACTCACCATCCAGAGGTAGACCTGCTTCCTTGTCAGACTTCAAACTAAGCAGAAGATCTGAATGGAAGCAGACAGAGACCCCCTTTTCAGGTGGTATTGGTCTGGTTCTTTACTTTGACTGACACACTAGAACAAACCAATAGGTGTTGTTACCTTCTCTCTGTAACTGGCAGTCACGTAATAGTTGGCCAGTTCCTGGTGATCATCATCCTGGTTATACAGGTCCTTCAGGGTTTCCTGTTCCTGCAGCTTACAGAACTGACACACACATAAATAAACCACAGGTTAAATAACCAGAGGTTAGACTAACCAGAGGGAGAGACCCACTTCCCATAATGAACCCACTACATCACATAGTAGAGTCCACGTGAAAGGGGGGCGGTGTTTAGCAGGTTATTCCCCAAAAGAAAATATGGCGGTTCTATCACAATTTATAAAGATGAATCTGAAAATATAAGTGACTGTTGTCAGGGCAACCAACAGCTGATCTGTTGATCTTTACAAATCAAGACTCAATAATCTAACACCCCATCCGGAGACCAGACACATCAGCCAGCTCAGGTTTCATTTGTTCTGATTTGATTCTCCCTACATAGAGATATATTATGACATTGTTAATAAGTCAGATTAAGGTCTATAGGAGTGAGGGGGAGGAGGTCATGATGAAGAGTACCTGTCTGTAGAGACTGAGTGCGACGGGTTGGTTCCTCAGAGTCATAAAGAAATCTCCTCGATTCATCTCGTTCTTCAGGTAACTCACCACGGTGTAAACTGAAAACACAGGTAGCCATCAGCGTGACATCGTCCACGGAAACCGTGTGTTTGTACTGAAGGAAGGAACAGGACCGGATGTGGAACCTCAGCAGCGACTCTCTGAGCGCCGGACAGATCATTTTAGAAAGTTGCCTTTCATCTGTTTAACAAACTCAGAATGTAATCAAAGCTGCAAGAAGCATGGGTGGGCCCTCGCACATGTAGCACGTCGAGGTGTGAGGCGGCCGCGTTGCAGATTCTGGAGTTCTGCCGGTGCAGCTGTGAATCTGCCAGATGCTTCGGACGTTGCACAAAAGTGTTAATAATTACTTGCTGTGTCCCCTTTGTGGAGCTACATAGCACTTCGCACTATGACTATAACTGAACATGTAAATGTGTTCGGGGCGGGACTGTTATCAATCACGTAACGTTTGGTAAAGATGTGAGCATGTGAATCATTGATTTTGGATGCCACAGGCACGCCATTCCACGAAAACGCACCATTTGTCTAATTTTTAATCGTCACTGGCTTTAGAGTGGACAGGGAAAATCTGAAGTTGGTCGCACTAATTCTCTAGGGGGTGTTTGTTAAAGTACGGTGCGTGAAAATCAAAAATTCAAAATGGCCGACTTCCTGTTGGGTTTAGGGCATCGCTCCAAGAGGCTTTTTGGTACGTCTGGACATGATACACGAGCCACAGAAAATTCATTCATGTAGGTCAAACGTGCCGTGGGGGCTGCTTTGTTGAAAGTCACTTCCATTTGCCTGCAGGTAGCACTATGGCTATGGGTGAATGTTGGCATGTAGGTGTGTTCAGGGCGGGACTCTTATTAAATGTGTAAAATGTTGTACAGATTTGAGCATATATACACACTATATATATACACACACACACACACACATATATATATATATATAATCATTTGTACAACGTTTCCAGTCGTTCTGAAGGTGGTACAAACGCTGTAACTCACCGAGGTCGGTGTCTCCACTCTCCACTGCTTTACTGAGAGCCAACTGACTCCTCTTCATCTTCAGCAGCAAAGGAACCTGTTCTCCGGACCGAGCCTCAAAGTCCAGCAGCTGGAACAGAGAAAATAAACTCTCAGAGTCCAGAGGTACCCAACTGAAGCCGAACAATGAGTGGGAGTAGAACAGAATCATCACGTTCAACTAACAGACTGCAACAAACTGTCGTAGTCCAGAGCTACCAAAGTGAAGGAGAACATCAGAACGATCCGCAGGAACAGAATCATCACGTTCAACTAACAGACTGCAACAAACTGTCGTAGTCCAGAACTACCAAAGTGAAGGAGAACATCAGAACGATCCGCAGGAACAGAATCATCACGTTCAACTAACAGACTGCAACAAACTGTCGTAGTCCAGAACTACCAAAGTGAAGGAGAACATCAGAACGATCCGCAGGAACAGAATCATCACGTTCTACTAACAGACTGCAGAACCCTTAGTATGGGTCTCGGACTTATATTCTCTGTATACAGTTATTCCTGTGATCATCACAGGAGACAACCTGTCCTGGTGTCGGTGGACAGAACACAAACATTATAAATGGCGTCCTGTGCAACAGGAAGTTACCTTTATGGCGAGCTCAGTGCGTCCACATTCGTAAGCTTTGGCCGCGATGTGAGAGTAAGAAACACCAGGCGAGTCCCCCACCTTCACACACACCGCTCGCGCTATGGCCTCGTCTGATAGGTCCTTCTGTTGCACCTGGACACGCCCACAACCACATCACACATCAAACAGGTCAACAGATAAATCAGACGGACAAACGTCAGGTGAGATAGGTGAGAGACAGGTGTGTCAGGTAAGACAGGTGAGAGACCTAGTGAGAGGCGAGACAGGTGAGACACAGGTTTATCAGGCGAGACAGAGGTGTGTCAGGCGAGACAGGCGAGACACAGGTTTATCAGGCGAGACAGGCGAGACAGAGGTGTGTCAGGTGAGACAGAGGTGTGTCAGGTAAGACAGGCGAGACACAGGTTTATCAGGCGAGACAGGCGAGTCAGAGGTGTGTCAGGCGAGACAGGTGAGACAGAGGTGTGTCAGGCGAGACAGAGGTGTGTCAGGCGAGACAGGCGTGTGTCAGGCGAGACACAGGTTTATCAGGCGAGACAGGCGTGTGTCAGGCGAGACAGGTGAGACAGGCGTGTGTCAGGTGAGACAGAGGTGTGTCAGGCGAGACAGGTGAGACAGAGGTTTATCAGGTGACAGAGGTTTATCAGGTGAGACAGAGCTGTGTCAGGTAAGACAGGTGAGACAGAGCTGTGTCAGGCGAGACACAGGTTTATCAGGCGAGACAGAGGTGTGTCAGGCGAGACAGGTGAGACAGAGGTGTGTCAGGCGAGACAGAGGTGAGACAGAGGTGTGTCAGGTGAGACAGAGGTGTGTCAGGTGAGACAGAGGTGTGTCAGGTGAGACAGAGGTGTGTCAGGTACGACAGGTGAGACAGAGGTGTGTCAGGTGAGACAGAGGTGTGTCAGGTGAGACAGAGGTGTGTCAGGTGTGTCAGGTGAGACAGAGGTGTGTCAGGTGAGACAGAGGTGTGTCGGGTGAGACATAGGTCTGTCGGGTAAGACAGGTGAGACAGAGGTTTATCAGATGAGACAGAGGTGTGTCACGTAAGACAGGTGAGACAGAGGTTTATCAGGTGAGACAGAGGTGTGTCAGGTGAGACAGAGGTGTGTCAGGTAAGACAGGTGAGACAGAGGTTTATCAGGTGAGACAGAGGTGTGTCATGTAAGACAGGTGAGACAGAGGTTTATCAGGTGAGACACAGGTTTATCAGGTGAGACAGAGGTGTGTCAGGTAAGACAGGTGAGACAGAGGTGTGTCAGGTACGACAGGTGAGACAGAGGTGTGTCAGGTGAGACAGGTGAGACAGGCGTGTGTCAGGTGAGACAGAGGTGTGTCAGGCGAGACAGGTGAGACAGAGGTTTATCAGGTGACAGAGGTTTATCAGGTGAGACAGAGCTGTGTCAGGTAAGACAGGTGAGACAGAGCTGTGTCAGGCGAGACACAGGTTTATCAGGCGAGACAGAGGTGTGTCAGGCGAGACAGGTGAGACAGAGGTGTGTCAGGTGAGACAGAGGTGTGTCAGGTACGACAGGTGAGACAGAGGTGTGTCAGGTGAGACAGAGGTGTGTCGGGTGAGACAGAGGTGTGTCGGGTGAGACAGAGGTGTGTCGGGTGAGACATAGGTCTGTCGGGTAAGACAGGTGAGACAGAGGTTTATCAGGTGAGACAGAGGTGTGTCATGTAAGACAGGTGAGACAGAGGTTTATCAGGTGAGACACAGGTTTATCAGGTGAGACAGAGGTGTGTCAGGTAAGACAGGTGAGACAGAGGTGTGTCAGGTGAGACAGGTGAGACAGAGGTGTGTCAGGTGAGACAGGTGAGACAGAGGTGAGACAGAGGTGTGTCAGGTGAGACAGGTGAGACAGAGGTTTATCAGGTGAGACATAGGTCTGTCGGGTAAGACAGGTGAGACAGAGGTTTATCAGATGAGACAGAGGTGTGTCAGGTGAGACAGAGGTGTGTCACGTAAGACAGGTGAGACAGAGGTTTATCAGGTGAGACAGAGGTGTGTCAGGTGAGACAGAGGTGTGTCAGGTAAGACAGGTGAGACAGAGGTTTATCAGGTGAGACAGAGGTGTGTCATGTAAGACAGGTGAGACAGAGGTTTATCAGGTGAGACACAGGTTTATCAGGTGAGACAGAGGTGTGTCAGGTAAGACAGGTGAGACAGAGGTGTGTCAGGTACGACAGGTGAGACAGAGGTGAGACAGAGGTGTGTCAGGTGAGACAGGTGAGACAGAGGTGTGTCAGGTGAGACAGAGGTGTGTCAGGTAAGACAGATGAGACAGAGGTTTATCAGGTGAGACAGAGGTGTGTCAGGTAAGACAGGTGAGACAGAGGTTTATCAGGTAAGACAGAGGTTTATCAGGTGAGACAGGTAAGACAGAGGTGTGTCAGGTGAGACAGAGGTTTATCAGGTGAGACAGAGGTGTGTCAGGTAAGACAGAGGTGTGTCAGGTGAGACACAGGTTTATCAGGTGAGACACAGGTTACCTTGCATGAAGCCCAGTGTTTGAGGACTCTGCTGACTCCCTGATAATCTGGAATCTTCAGGTAACGACAGATCTCTATCGCTAATGGATAAAACTGTCGATACACCAACCTGAGACAGAGACAGGTGAAAGACAGACAGGTGAGAGAGAGAGACAGGTGAGAGACAGACAGGCGGGATGAGCTGACTCACCTGTCGATCAGCACCTGTAGAGTCATCTGTTTGAATCTGAGGTCAGAGGTCAAGGAGCCTGTCACCGTGGTAACAGTGAAACTGAAATCTGTTAATGACTGACAGGATCTGACATCTGATTGGTCGGTAGTAATACAACAGATGATGACATCACGGTTCATTAACCCTTCATCACTACAGGTTAAAAACATTTCCCACGATGCACCTGTGCAGAGTGTGTGAGGATACTGAGTGTGTGTGAGCGGCAGCCCCACGCCACTCTCTCTGACGGCGTTCAGCACTCGGAGTTCTCTGCAGGTCGCCACAAACAGATCCGGACTGAAGTCGGTCAGGAAACACTTCCCGAAGGAGGCCGCCTGGTGGACGGGACACACGTTACACCACAGAACACAGAGACAGAACACACGCTACACCACAAAACACTGGTACAGAACCACAGAACACTGACACAGAACGCTGGTACAGAACCACAGATCACTGGTACAGAACACACGCTACACCACAAAACACTGGTAAAAAACCACAGAACACTGACACAGAACACTGGTACAGAACCACAGATCACTGGTACAGAACACACACTACACCACAAAACACTGGTACAGAACCACAGATCACTGGTACAGAACACACGCTACACCACAAAACACTGGTAAAAAACCACAGAACACTGACACAGAACACTGGTACAGAACCACAGATCACTGACACAGAAGACTGGTACAGAACCACAGATCACTGGTACAGAACACACACTACACCACAAAACACTGGTACAGAACCACAGAACACTGGTACAGAACACACGCTACACCACAAAACACTGGTACAGAACCACAGAACACTGGTACAGAACACACGCAACACCACAAAACACTGGTACAGAACCACAGAACACTGACACAGAAGACTGGTACAGAACCACAGATCACTGGTACAGAACACACGCTACACCACAAAACACTGGTACAGAACCACAGAACACTGGTACAGAACACACGCTACACCACAAAACACTGGTACAGAACCACAGAACACTGACACAGAAGACTGGTACAGAACCACAGATCACTGGTACAGAACACACGCTACACCACAAAACACTGGTACAGAACCACAGAACACTGACACAGAACACTGGTACAGAACCACAGATCACTGACACAGAAGACTGGTACAGAACCACAGATCACTGGTACAGAACACTCGCTACACCACAAAACACTGGTACAGAACCACAGATCACTGGTACAGAACACACGCTACACCACAAAACACTGGTAAAAAACCACAGAACACTGGTACAGAACACACGCTACACCACAAAACACTGGTACAGAACCACAGAATACCAAGACAGAACTACAGCACACTGAGACAGGACCACAGAACACAGAGACAGAACACTGGTACAGAACCACAGAACACCGAGACAGAAATACACAACACTGACACAGAAGACTGGTACAGAACCACAGATCACTGGTACAGAACACACGCTACACCACAAAACACTGGTACAGAACCACAGATCACTGGTACAGAACACACGCTACACCACAAAACACTGGTACAGAACCACAGAACACTGGTACAGAACACACGCTACACCACAAAACACTGGTACAGAACACACGCTACACCACAAAACACTGGTACAGAACCACAGATCACTGGTACAGAACACACGCTACACCACAAAACACTGGTACAGAACCACAGAACACTGGTACAGAACACTCGCTACACCACAAAACACTGGTACAGAACCACAGATCACTGGTACAGAACACACGCTACACCACAAAACACTGGTAAAGAACCACAGAACACTGGTACAGAACACACGCTACACCACAAAACACTGGTACAGAACCACAGAATACCAAGACAGAACTACAGCACACTGAGACAGGACCACAGAACACAGAGACAGAACACTGGTACAGAACCACAGAACACCGAGACAGAAATACACAACACTGACACAGAAGACTGGTACAGAACCACAGATCACTGGTACAGAACACACGCTACACCACAAAACACTGGTACAGAACCACAGATCACTGGTACAGAACACACGCTACACCACAAAACACTGGTACAGAACCACAGAACACTGGTACAGAACACACGCTACACCACAAAACACTGGTACAGAACCACAGAATACCAAGACAGAACTACAGCACACTGAGACAGGACTACAGAACACAGAGACAGAACACTGGTACAGAACCACAGAACACCGAGACAGAAATACACAACACTGACACAGAAGACTGGTACAGAACCACAGATCACTGGTACAGAACACACGCTACACCACAAAACACTGGTACAGAACCACAGAACACTGGTACAGAACACACGCTACACCACAAGACACTGGTACAGAACCACAGAACACCAAGACAGAACTACAGCACACCGAGACAGGACCACAAAACACTGACATAGAACACTGGTACAGAACCACAGAACACTGATACAGAACACATGTTGCACCACAGAACACCGAGAGAGAACCACAGAACACCAAGACAGAACTACAGCACACCAAGACAGGACCTTAAAAGAAATGCAGCACACCGAGACAGGACCACAGAATGCCGAGAAGGACAACGGAACACTGACACAGAACACTGGTACAGAACACACATTACACCACAGAACTCTGATAGAGAACCACAGAACACGGACACAGAACACTGGTACAGAACCACTGATTTTTGGGCGCATGCGCACACAGCGACTGGCAGTGAAACGTTTGGCGTTCTCATGTCCTTGTGTTTTATGTTCTTTTTTAGTTTTATGCTTTAAAGTTTATTCAAATTGTTCCAACGGGAAGGGGCTTGCGCAAGGATGGATCTATTTTGCCTATTTTATCTCAGTGTCTTGTGGACTTTATGGCGTGTTTGTGATTCTAATGAATTTGACGGGCAAAGCCGGTTGCACTACTCAAGAGAGGTGCTGCTGCAGTTAAACTGTGCGCGTTCGATGCGCATGGTGGATTTTGTCCCACAGCTTTCGGACTTTATTTTGAGACAGCCATGTGAAAAATTGGAAAAACCGAAGGAAAGAGAAAGAAGCGGGGAAAGCGAGGTGGTGTAAAGTTACGCCTGAGGAAACAACGTCTGTCCCGGATTCCTCTGCCCTCGGTGATCGTGGGGAATGTTCAGTCCTTGAGGAATAAAACGGATGAACTTCAGGGGTATGTCCGATTCCAGAAGGATTTTAAAACCTGTGGCATCTTGGCCTTTACGGAGACATGGCTCAATGAGCAGGACTCAGACACAGACCTGTGCATCGATGGATTTGGGACACCGTTTCGTTTGGATCGTGATGCTGAAGTGATGGGGAAAAACAGGGCGGTGGGGTATGTTTGTATGTTAACAAACAATATTGTAGTGCTGTGACTGTTCGAGAACAGATTTGCACTTCGAATGTCGAACTTTTAACAGTATCACTACGTCCGTTTTATTTGCCTTGTGAGTTTCCACAAATTTTTAGGACTGTGGTGTATATCCATCCAAAAGGCAGATGCCGTCTCTGCCACTAGTACCATTTCTGAGGTGGTACAAAAACTACAGTCGAAATCACTGAGCGAGTTTGGTATTGGGTGATTTAACCATGTGTCACTGAAAAAAGCACTTCCACATTACTATCAATACATCACTTGCCCAACCAGACGGAATAAAACACTTGATCTGTGCTACGGAACAGTAAAGGACGCCTTCAAATCACTTCCATTGCCTCCTTTGGGCTCGGCTGACCACAACTGTGTGTTTTTATTGACTGTTTTAAGGAGAGAGAAGGCGCAAACAAAGGATGTAAAGGTCTGGACTGAGGAATCTGTGCTCTGTTTACAAGAGTGTTATGATTGCACGGACTGGAATATGTTTAGAGAAAGCTGTGGTAATGACCTGTTCCCATGTTGCTTTTTGTAGGTATATGATAATTCCTAGTAAGACAGTCAAAATCTATCCAAATAACAAACCATGGATAACCAAATCTGTTAAATCCAGTATAGAATCTAAGAGACGGGTCTTTAAACTAGATGAATTTACTGATTCACACAAACAAGCGGCCACTAGGGGGTTGAAAGTAGAAATCCTAAAGGCAAAAAAGAATTATCAAGTGAGATTAGAGAGTCAAATGGCTGAAAATAAATTTGATTCAGCCTGGTCCAGTATCAAAGCTATATTAGGGTATGGTAGTTCAAAGCACAATACAATTCGAAATTTGAATGTGCAAATGCCTTAAATAGTTGTTATAATCGTTTTGATACATCTGCTTTTAGTGAGGAACTCCAGGACTGGCGTCACAAGCTTGAGGAGAGCCAGCATTTCTGTATAGACCAAAAGGAGGTGGAAAGGGCCTTTTTTCCCCAGTTAGAGTAAATAAGAGATGTGGGTCTGATAATATTTGTGGCCGGGTACTCAAGTCTTGTGCAAAAGAGTTGAGCATTTTTAATAAGTCCATGAAAGTACAGCATGTTCCAAAGGTGTGGAAGGATGCAATGATTGTCCCAGTTCCGAAAGTTAGTTGTCCAAAGATATTAAATGACTTAAGACCAGTGGCTCTTACATCTTTTTTAATGAACATTTTTGAAAGATTTGTGAGATCTGAGATATTAAAGATGATCCAATGCAGTTTGCTTATAGATCAAAAAGAGGTGTAGAGGATGCAACGGTCACCTTGATACATCTGCTTTTGAAACATCTGGAGGGGAAGGGGTCTCATGCAAGGCTTCTATTTGTAGATTTTTCCTCTGCGTTTAATACGATTCAACCTCACATTCTAGTAAGGAGACTTTTAGAACAGTTCAAACTGAGTAATAATTTAGTCGGATGGATTTTTTAATTTTTTAATAGAGAACACAAAGAGTGAAAATAAACAACACAATCTCTGCACAGGTTACTTCCTCCACTGGTTCACCACAAGCATGTGTACTTTCTCCACTACTGTTTATTCTCTACACAAATATGTGCCATAGTCATTTGGAAAATCGTGTGGTTTTGAAATACGCAGACGACACTGTAATTGTCAGTCTGCTTCAGAATAACGAGAACGTTCACGAACCCATTATTAATGATTTTGTTGAGCGGTGTGAGGAGTCTCACCTTCGTTTAAATGTACTGAAGACCAAGCATATGGTTATTGATTTCAGAAGGAATGTCTATATGCATGAAGTCACATCCATTAAGGGTGAAACAGTGGAGTGTGTGCAATCTTACAAATACCTTGGGACAATCATTGATTCATTCTGAGTTTGGAAGCCAACTGTGAAAGGGTGTAAAAAGTCTGTTCTTTTTAAGGAAACTGTCAATTTCAAATTGAGAAAACACTGTTGATGATGTTTATCATGCTTTTATTGAATCCGTACTCTCCTTTTTTCTGGAACTTAACGTTAAAGAGTCGGAACTCTATTAACCAGATCATGAAATAGTAGGTCCAGTAGGCTGACTGGGGAACCACTACTGGACCCAGCCTCGCTGTATACTAGGCAGGTACAGTGCATGAGTATTTCAGTTTTGAGTGACCAGCTCCATCCGCTGTATTATGAGTTCCAGTATCTGCCGTCCAACCGACGGTTTAGAGTACTGCGGTGTACAACAAAACTTTATAAAAAACAGCTTTGTTCCCGTAGGGATTCGTTTTATGAATAGTATTAAGATGGAGTAGATTGTTTTAGTGTGATTTTAGTGTCTTGTTCTGTTTGTATGGTGTATTATCGTTTATATGGTTGAGAAATTGCCTAAACTTATTCTCTGGAACATAATTTACCTACGGGTATAAATAAAGGAACCTGAACCTGAACAGAACACTGACCCAGATCCAACGAACACTGGTACAAAACCACAGAACAGTGACACAGAACACAGACCGAACACAAGTTACACTACAGAACACCAAGAGAGAACCACAGAACACTGACAGAGAACCACAGAACACTGAGACAGAACACTGATACAAAACACACGTTGCACCACAGAACACTGACAGAGAACCACAGAACACTGACACACAACACTGGTACAGAGCCACAGAACACTGGTACAGAACCAAGAACACCAAGACAGAACTACAGCACACCTAGACAGGACCACAGAACACAGAGAAAGCACCACAGAACACTGGTACAGAACCAGAGATCACTGGTACAGAACACATTACACCACAAAACACTAAGACAAAACCGCAGAACACTGTCACAGAACCACGGATTGCTGGTATAGAACACACGTTACACCACAAAACACCAAGAGAGAACCATAGAACACTGACAGAGAACGCTGGTACAGAACACAGGTTGCACCACAGAACAGAGACAGAACCACAGAACACTGACACACAACACTGGTACAGAACCACAGAACACCAAGACAGGACCACAGAACGCCGAGAAGGACCATGGAACACTGATACAGAACACTGAGACAAAAGCGCAGAACACTGTCACAGAACCACAGATTGCTGGCATAGAACACACGTTACACCACAAAACACCTAGAGAGAACCACAGAACACTGACAGAGAACCACAGAACACTGAGACAGAACACTGATACAAAACACACGTTGCACTACAGAACACTGACACACAACACTGGTACAGAGCCACAGAACACTGGTACAGAACCAAAGAACACCAAGACAGAACTACAGCACACCTAGACAGGACCACAGAACACTGACAGAGAACGCTGGTACAGAACACAGGTTGCACCACAGAACAGAGACAGAACCACAGAACACTGACACACAACACTGGTACAGAACCACAGAACACCAAGACAGAACACTGGTACAGAACCACAGAACACCAAGACAGAACACTGGTACAGAACTACAGCACACCTAGACAGGACCACAGAACGCCGAGAAGGACCACGGAACATTGATACAGAACACTGAGACAAAACCGCAGAACACTGTCATAGAACCACAGATTGCTGGTATAGAACACACGTTACACCACAAAACACCGAGAGAGAACCACAGAACACTGAGACAGAACCACAGAACACTGACAGAACACTGAGACAGAACCACAGAACACTCACAGAACACTGGTTTGTACCAGCGATGGTTTGTACCAGTGATGGTTCTGTGTCACAGAACACAGAGAGAAGCACAAAACACAGAGACAGAACCACAGAACACTGACCCAGATCCAACGAACACCGGTACAGAACCACAGAACACTGACACAGAAAACACATTAGACCACAGAACACTGAGACAGAACCACAGAACACTGGTACAGAATAAACAGTGTTCTGTATCAGTGTGTTTGTTCTGTGTCATTGTACCGGAACATTTTGGCTCCATTTTTGTACAGTAGGACTAAGTTCTCACCCTCAGCAGGGATTTCTGGGTGTTGGTGTCGTATTCGTGTCCTGCTGCTTCCACACACTGTCTGACTGCTTCTCCCAGCATGCTTTGCTCCTTGATCTCCCTCAGGTACTCATCGGCCTTCTGACTCGACTTCTACACAAACACACAAAGACAGAAATGGGGGAGACCTGCAGCGAGACCACTTCGGACCATCGCTCCTTTGTTCAGACAGGTTCTTACCTCGTACTCCCGGTGGGCCTCCAGCAGCAGAGCTCCGGGAGCCATGGAGGCGATCTTGAAAATGTCCTGACAGACCAGAGGAACCTCCTGAAGCAGCTCCTGATTGGTTGAGCTGATGATCCGAACTCCGTCCAGCTCTCCAACTAAAACACAGTGATCCTCTATGGGGAACCTGAGGTCAAGGGTCAAGGTTCAAACCTGAATCCACACCAACGTGCCCCTGGAGGACACCAACCAAGCCACATGCCCCGCCTTGGCTCCTCCCATTAAGCTCAGCTCATTCCTGCTCAGGTGGATCTGTCTAACGCTGGACTAGAGCTGGGGCGATTCGTCAACGCAATCGATAACAACAATACATCGCTGCATCTGGTCCCTGGACAAGCTGCAGATACAAGACCGCGCCTTCGACGTCAACAGCGAGCTGCTCTCTAAGCTCTGAACAGGAAACGGCTTCACGGCCGCACAGCTGTTGTGCACGAGCACGTGAAGCCAAAGCATCCCGGAGCGCTTTGTCTCTCCACGCGAGCACGGCGCGTTATCAGCGCGAGGACACGCAGTCCGTTAAATTTCTGCCCCGCTGCCGTCATGGTAACGTTACGTTACACCGTGTGACGTTCGGCCGTTTCATGTTTCCTGTTTAACGGCCACGTGCGAGCGGCCGAACAGCTGATCGTTACAGACGATCGCAGAAACGCATGTGAGTCCAGGTCAGGCACAGTTTCGGTTTGCCCCAGTCTGAGCCGGTTTAAAGGATACTGGATGGTGTCGTTATAGGCTCCGGCCACCATCAGCAGTCTGTCCCACATCAGCACCACAGACGGCTGCTGGCTCTTCGGTCTGCGACACCTGGACAGGTAGAGGGTCAGACAGGTTCATGGACCAACAGACAGTTAAACGGTGTTAGACAAAGACAGACAGGTACATAGGTGAGACAGGGGACGACAATCTGGGGACTGAGGCGCTGGTTTTCTACCGGGCCCTTCAGAATTTAACCCAGCAAGGAACAGGCTCAAAATACTGATGTTCTGAAATCTCCAACAAAGTTCAACGAGCAGAAAAAGAAACTCGGTTTGTTCTGCCCAACAGTTCAAAAACACTCTGCTGCGATTGTTGCATCGCAGTTTGTGGGACTTCCAGGGACGAATCCACGATGCAGCAGCACGTGAAAAACTCACGCCACGACATTTACTCATTCTGCGGACGCCTTTATCCAGAGCGACTCCCAGCTGCTGTCCGAGGTGGCCCGCCTCTGGAGCAGCGAGGGGGACACGCTGGTGGACGGGTCACAGTGGGGACTGAACCCAGGCGGGGCTCGAGCTGTGATCTGAGCGGAGATATAAATAAATAAATGGGGCATAGATGAGGGCTGTGCCGACACAGCCATCAGCGTACACGCAGGTGAAACTCGAACAATTAGCTTATCGTGCACAAGTTCATTTATTTCAGTAATTCAACTTAAAGGTGAAACTAATATATTCTATAGACTCATTACATCACAAAGTGAGATATTTCAAACCTTTATTTTATATCATTTCGATGATTATGGTGTCGATGGCGGACGGCGCAGGTCATCAGGAAAACATGTTCCTTTAAGTCTAAAGAGCCAATTAGAATGAAACACACATTATCTGTGATAAATGACTCAGTGACCCCCGCACGGGACCTCAGACCTCCTTCTGGGAGCTGGCTCCTACGCAACTCGAACCCTGAACTCTTACCCACTGCGCCATCACCGCCGTGAACGAGAAGCCGGATCAATAAGTGGAAGAGAACCAGGGCAGCGAGCTGGTCTCGGGAGGAAGCGGCCAGGTGGGTCTGACTAAACCTACACCTGTCCACTGCAGGGGCCTGGAGGCGGAGCTAGGAGCACTGATTAGAGGAGGGTGGGTAGGTTGTAGTCTTTACTCTACACTGCGGGCCGGTTGGGGTCTGACAGGTAGACAGACAGGCGGACAGACAGGCGGACAGGTAGACAGACAGACAGACAGGCGGACAGAGACAGACAGGTGGACAGACAGGCGGACAGGTAGACAGACAGTTAGACAGACAGGCGGACAGAGACAGACAGGTGGACAGACAGGCGGACAGGTAGACAGGCAGGCGGACAGACAGGCGGACAGAGACAGACAGGTGGACAGACAGGCGGACAGAGAGACAGACAGACGAACAAACAGATAAACAAACAGAGAGACAGAAAGGTGGACTGACAGACAGACAGGCGGACAAACAGATAAACAAACAGAGAGACAGACAGGTGGACAGAGAGAGACAGACAAGCAGACAGACAGGCGGACGGAGAGACAGAAAGGTGGACTGACAGACAGACAGGCGGACAAACAGATAAACAAACAGAGAGACAGACAGGTGGACAGAGACAGGCGGACAGACAGGCAGGCGGACAGGTGCACGTACCACACCATTTGTTTGGGAGGTGTCGACTTTTTGGTGTCCACTTCACTCAGTTTGTCCTGTAGACACAGAATCACCTGTCACTCATCCACACAGACCACGCCCACTCAGGTCACATCAAACAGCTGATTGGACAGAGGAGCAGCTCACCTGGAGGTGGGAGGAGCCTGTCCACAGGTGTCCAGTATCAGTAAAGAGAGCCAGGTATTTATAGCTGAAAGACACAGACATGTGGACAATGCTGCCAGCCTGAGGACTGAGACCTGGAGGACACTGAAACAGACAGGTGAGGTTAGTTACCCGTCTCTCTCCACCTGCCTAACCTCTATCTACCTGTCTGTCTCTCTAACTGTCTCACCACAGCAGTACATGACGTGTTGTCCAGCATGTAGACTTCAGGTCCGTTGGACAGCAGGATTTTAGTCTGTCTGTCCTGAGTGAGGACGACCCAGCAGGATGGCTTCCCCTGCAGACCTGAGGACAGAGACAGGTAAAACACAGGTACAGGGACACAGAGACAGATAAAAGATAGGTACAGAGACAGAGAGACGGGTACAGGGACACAGAGACAGATAACCGAGGGGTATATATTTATAGGCGACAAGAGACTGGTACAGGGACACAGAGACAGATAAAAGATGGGTACAGAGACAGAGAGACGGGTACAGGGAAACAGAGACAGGTAAAAGATGGGTACAGAGACAGAGAGACGGGTACAGGGACACAGAGACAAGGACAGAGAGACAAGTACAGAACAGAGAGACAGATAACCGACAGGTACAGGGACAGAGAGACATGTAAAAGACGGGTACAGGGACACAGAGACAGGGACAGAACAGAGAGACAGATAACCGACGGGTACAGATATATAGGGGACAGGGACAGAGAGAGGCCGCTCTGAATCTGTTCTACCTCCAACACTTGAAACCATAGACTGAGAAAGCACAGGTTAAGGTAAAGGTCTTACCTGGGACTTCAGGTAACCTCCGGAGCTTCAGGTCATCGATGTTGGTTGCCAAGGTGAAGCGGGAGGAGCCTGTTACAATGGCAACACCTGTTCCATAAGGAGAGTGGAAAACTTTGGCTTCCAAGACCTGACTCTGGACCACTTCCTGTTGAAAACATCAGACAGAAACTAGTTAACAGACTGACCTGTCCCATAGTGAAGTGGTTAGTAAACATGTAAATAGACTAGTTAACAGACTGACCTGTCCCACAGTGAAGTGGTTAGTTAACCAGTAAACAGACTAGTTAACAGACTGACCTGTAGTGAAGTGGTTAGTTAACCAGTTAACAGACTAGTTAATGGACTGACCTGTAGTGGTTAGTTAACTAGTAAACAGACTAGTTAACAGACTGACCTGTCCCATAGTGAAGTGGTTAGTAAACATGTAAATAGACTAGTTAACAGACTGACCTGTCCCACAGTGAAGTGGTTAGTTAACCAGTAAACAGACTAGTTAACAGACTGACCTGTCCCATAGTGAAGTGGTTAGTTAACCAGTAAACAGACTAGTTAACAGACTGACCTGTCCCATAGTGAAGTGGTTAGTTAACATGTAAATAAACTAGTTAACAGACTGACCTGTCCCATAGTGAAGTGGTTAGTAAACATGTAAATAGACTAGTTAACAGACTGACCTGTCCCACAGTGAAGTGGTTAGTTAACCAGTAAACAGACTAGTTAACAGACTGACCTGTCCCATAGTGAAGTGGTTAGTAAACATGTAAATAGACTAGTTAACAGACTGACCTGTCCCATTGTGAAGTGGTTAGTTAACCAGTAAACAGACTAGTTAACAGACTGACCTGTAGTGAAGTGGTTAGTTAACCAGTTAACAGACTAGTTAATGGACTGACCTGTAGTGGTTAGTTAACCAGTAAACAGACTAGTTAACAGACTGACCTGTCCCATAGTGAAGTGGTTAGTAAACATGTAAATAGACTAGTTAACAGACTGACCTGTCCCACAGTGAAGTGGTTAGTTAACCAGTAAACAGACTAGTTAACAGACTGACCTGTCCCATAGTGAAGTGGTTAGTTAACCAGTAAATAGACTAGTTAACAGACTGACCTGTCCCATAGTGAAGTGGTTAGTTAACTAGTTAACAGACTAGTTAACATACTGACCTGTCCCATAGTGAAGTGGTTAGTTAACCAGTAAATAGACTAGTTAACAGACTGACCTGTCCCATAGTGAAGTGGTTAGTAACATGTAAATAGACTAGTTAACATACTGACCTGTCCCACAGTGAAGTGGTTAGTTAACCAGTAAACAGACTAGTTAACAGACTGACCTGTCCCATAGTGAAGTGGTTAGTTAACATGTAAATAAACTAGTTAACAGACTGACCTGTCCCATAGTGAAGTGGTTAGTTAACATGTAAATAAACTAGTTAACAGACTGACCTGTCCCATAGTGAAGTGGTTAGTTAACATGTAAATAAACTAGTTAACATACTGACCTGTCCCATAGTGAAGTGGTTAGTTAACCAGTAAACAGACTAGTTAACAGACTAGTTAACATACTGACCTGTCCCATAGTGAAGTGGTTAGTTGACCAGTAAATAGACTAGTTAACAGACTGACCTGTCCCATAGTGAAGTGGTTAGTTAACTAGTTAACAGACTAGTTAACATACTGACCTGTCCCATAGTGAAGTGGTTAGTTAACCAGTAAACAGACTAGTTAACAGACTGACCTGTCCCATAGTGAAGTGGTTAGTAAACATGTAAATAGACTAGTTAACATACTGACCTGTCCCACAGTGAAGTGGTTAGTTAACCAGTAAACAGACTAGTTAACAGACTGACCTGTCCCATAGTGAAGTGGTTAGTTAACATGTAAATAGACTAGTTAACAGACTGACCTGTCCCACAGTGAAGTGGTTAGTTAACCAGTAAACAGACTAGTTAACAGACTGACCTGTCCCATAGTGAAGTGGTTAGTTAACCAGTAAACAGACTAGTTAACAGACTGACCTGTCCCACAGTGAAGTGGTTAGTTAACATGTAAATAAACTAGTTAACAGACTGACCTGTCCCATAGTGAAGTGGTTAGTAAACATGTAAATAGACTAGTTAACATACTGACCTGTCCCACAGTGAAGTGGTTAGTTAACCAGTAAACAGACTAGTTAACAGACTGACCTGTAGTGAAGTGGTTAGTTAACATGTAAATAAACTAGTTAACAGACTGACCTGTCCCATAGTGAAGTGGTTAGTTAACATGTAAATAAACTAGTTAACATACTGACCTGTCCCATAGTGAAGTGGTTAGTTAACCAGTAACAGACTAGTTAACAGACTAGTTAACATACTGACCTGTCCCATAGTGAAGTGGTTAGTTAACCAGTAAATAGACTAGTTAACAGACTGACCTGTCCCATAGTGAAGTGGTTAGTTAACTAGTTAACAGACTAGTTAACATACTGACCTGTCCCATAGTGAAGTGGTTAGTTAACCAGTAAATAGACTAGTTAACAGACTGACCTGTCCCATAGTGAAGTGGTTAGTAAACATGTAAATAGACTAGTTAACATACTGACCTGTCCCACAGTGAAGTGGTTAGTTAACCAGTAAACAGACTAGTTAACAGACTGACCTGTCCCATAGTGAAGTGGTTAGTTAACCAGTAAACAGACTAGTTAACAGACTGACCTGTCCCATAGTGAAGTGGTTAGTTAACCAGTAAAAAGACTAGTTAACATACTGACCTGTCCCACAGTGAAGTGGTTAGTTAACATGTAAATAGACTAGTTAACATACTGACCTGTCCCATAGTGGAGTGGTTAGTTAACCAGTAAACAGACTAGTTAACATACTGACCTGTCCCATAGTGAAGTGGTTAGTTAACCAGTAAACAGACTAGTTGACAGACTGACCTGTCCCATAGTGAAGTGGTTAGTTAACATGTAAATAAACTAGTTAACAGACTGACCTGTCCCATAGTGAAGTGGTTAGTTAACATGTAAATAAACTAGTTAACATACTGACCTGTCCCATAGTGAAGTGGTTAGTTAACCAGTTAACAGACTAGTTAACAGACTAGTTAACATACTGACCTGTCCCATAGTGAAGTGGTTAGTTAACCAGTAAATAGACTAGTTAACAAACTGACCTGTCCCATAGTGAAGTGGTTAGTTAACCAGTAAAAAGACTAGTTAACATACTGACCTGTCCCATAGTGAAGTGGTTAGTTAACATGTAAATAGACTAGTTAACATACTGACCTGTCCCATAGTGAAGTTGTTAGTTAACCAGTAAACAGACTAGTTAACATACTGACCTGTCCCATAGTGAAGTGGTTAGTTAACCAGTAAACAGACTAGTTAACAGACTGACCTGTCCCATAGTGAAGTGGTTAGTTAACCAGTAAACAGACTAGTTAACAGACTGACCTGTCCCATAGTGAAGTGGTTAGTTAACATGTAAATAAACTAGTTAACAGACTGACCTGTCCCATAGTGAAGTGGTTAGTTAACCAGTAAACAGACTAGTTAACAGACTGACCTGTCCCATAGTGAAGTGGTTAGTTAACCAGTAAAAAGACTAGTTAACATACTGACCTGTCCCATAGTGAAGTGGTTAGTTAACCAGTAAATAGACTAGTTAACAGACTGACCTGTCCCATAGTGAAGTGGTTAGTTAACCAGTAAAAGACTAGTTAACATACTGACCTGTCCCATAGTGAAGTGGTTAGTTAACATGTAAATAGACTAGTTAACATACTGACCTGTCCCATAGTGAAGTGGTTAGTTAACCAGTAAACAGACTAGTTAACAGACTGACCTGTCCCATAGTGAAGTGGTTAGTTAACCAGTAAAAAGACTAGTTAACAGACTGACCTGTCCCATAGTGAAGTGGTTAGTTAACATGTAATAAACTAGTTAACAGACTGACCTGTCCCATAGTGAAGTGGTTAGTTAACATGTAAATAGACTAGTTAACATACTGACCTGTCCCATAGTGAAGTTGTTAGTTAACCAGTAAACAGACTAGTTAACATACTGACCTGTCCCATAGTGAAGTGGTTAGTTAACCAGTAAACAGACTAGTTAACAGACTGACCTGTCCCATAGTGAAGTGGTTAGTTAACCAGTAAACAGACTAGTTAACAGACTGACCTGTCCCATAGTGAAGTGGTTAGTTAACATGTAAATAAACTAGTTAACATACTGACCTGTCCCATAGTGAAGTGGTTAGTTAACCAGTAAACAGACTAGTTAACAGACTGACCTGTCCCATAGTGAAGTGGTTAGTTAACCAGTAAAAAGACTAGTTAACATACTGACCTGTCCCATAGTGAAGTGGTTAGTTAACCAGTAAAAAGACTAGTTAACATACTGACCTGTCCCATAGTGAAGTGGTTAGTTAAAATGTAAATAGACAGTAGTGAAGTGGTTAGCTAACTTGTAAACAGATTAGTTTACAGACTGACCTGTCCCATAGTGAAGTGGTTAGTTAACTAGTTAACAGACTGACCTGTAGTGAAGTGGTTAGTTAACTAGTTAACAGACTGACCTGTCCCATAGTGAAGTGGTTAGTAAACATGTAAATAGACTAGTTAACAGACTGACCTGTCCCACAGTGAAGTGGTTAGTTAACCAGTAAACAGACTAGTTAACAGACTGACCTGTCCCATAGTGAAGTGGTTAGTTAACCAGTAAACAGACTAGTTAACAGACTGACCTGTCCCATAGTGAAGTGGTTAGTAAACATGTAAATAGACTAGTTAACAGACTGACCTGTCCCACAGTGAAGTGGTTAGTTAACCAGTAAACAGACTAGTTAACAGACTGACCTGTAGTGAAGTGGTTAGTTAACCAGTTAACAGACTAGTTAATGGACTGACCTGTAGTGGTTAGTTAACCAGTAAACAGACTAGTTAACAGACTGACCTGTCCCATAGTGAAGTGGTTAGTTAACCAGTAAAAGACTAGTTAACATACTGACCTGTCCCATAGTGAAGTGGTTAGTTAACATGTAAATAGACTAGTTAACATACTGACCTGTCCCATAGTGAAGTTGTTAGTTAACCAGTAAACAGACTAGTTAACATACTGACCTGTCCCATAGTGAAGTGGTTAGTTAACCAGTAAACAGACTAGTTAACAGACTGACCTGTCCCATAGTGAAGTGGTTAGTTAACATGTAAATAAACTAGTTAACAGACTGACCTGTCCCATAGTGAAGTGGTTAGTTAACATGTAAATAAACTAGTTAACATACTGACCTGTCCCATAGTGAAGTGGTTAGTTAACCAGTAAACAGACTAGTTAACAGACTGACCTGTCCCATAGTGAAGTGGTTAGTTAACCAGTAAAAAGACTAGTTAACATACTGACCTGTCCCATAGTGAAGTGGTTAGTAAACCAGTAAAAAGACTAGTTAACATACTGACCTGTCCCATAGTGAAGTGGTTAGTTAAAATGTAAATAGACTAGTTAACATATTGACCTGTCCCATAGTGAAGTGGTTAGTTAACATGTAAATAGACTAGTTAACAGACTGACCTGTCCCATAGTGAAGTGGTTAGTTAACCAATTAACAGACTAGTTAACTGACTGACCTGTAGTGAAGTGGTTAGCTAACTTGTAAACAGATTAGTTTACAGACTGACCTGTCCCATAGTGAAGTGGTTAGTTAACTTGTAAACAGACTAGTTTACAGACTGACCTGTCCCATAGTGAAGTGGTTAGTTAACCAGTTAAAAGACTAGTTTACAGACTGACCTGTCCCATACTGAAGTGGTTAGTTAACCAGTAAACAGACTGACCTGTCCCATACTGAAGTGGTTAGTTAACCAGTAAACAGACTGACCTGTCCCATACTGAAGTGGTTAGTTAACCGGTTAACAGACTAGTTAACAGACTGACCTGTCCCATACTGAAATGGTTAGTTAACTAGTTAACAGACTGACCTGTCCCATAGTGAAGTGGTTAGTTAACTTGTAAAAAGACTAGTTAACAGACTGACCTGTCCCATACTGAAGTGGTTAGTTAACTTGTAAAAAGACTAGTTAACAGACTGACCTGTCCCATACTGAAATGGTTAGTTAACTAGTTAACAGACTGACCTGTCCCATACTGAAGTGTCTCTTGAAGGACCCGAACAGATCGTAGATCAGCACTGATCCGTCCTCCTGAATACACAGCAGCTCATCATTGACTGTCCAACCTAAATGGACCACAGGACCGCTCTTCCACTGACAGGTGAGACGGGACAGGTGAGACAGAGGGATTACTACACATTGCAGTACTAAACACTAAACAGTCCGGCATGATTTAACAGTAACGACCAGGTGAATGAGGACTGTCTCTGATTGGTTAACGAGGAACTGAAGATTTACCGGGAAGCTGGTGATGGAGGCTCCCGACGCAGAATAGATCTCCAGCTGAGGACGGGAACTGGGAGAACGTCTGAGGGGTTCTCTGAGGAGGGCTGAGAGACAGACAGGTAGAGACAGACAGGTGTAGAGACAGAGACAGGCATTACCACCCACTCTGAACAGGTGTATATTATATTGTTTTGTATATTTCCGCCCGACTCTCGTTGTTAATAACAGCGAACCTATGGGTCCTCCATACGGAGCAGCAGCCACCAGACTGTCTCTGAGACCGTCCTTCAGGGTCCAGCTCATCTCGTACAGCTCCGTCTTCCTGCACACACACACACATTACACACACACGTTAACGAACACGTTACGTCACAGTGCATCACGTTAGATGCTGACGTCAGCTCGTTTAGTTCTGTCCCACCAGACTCCGTTTAAAATGATGCGACTTTAACTGCGGTCCTGAGAGCAGCTGGCAGGACGTCACCTGCTGGGTTGGATTAAACGTGATGACGTTAACACACCTGTTGCGAACAGGACGTAGCTGCTAACCGTTAATGACGCGCACACACACACACCGTGATATGACGTTTAAAGGTGTCCAGCAGGACGCTAACGGGCAGCTAACGCTCCGTTAAAACAGACGGGAGCTTGTGTTCACGCTGCAGGGACCTAGCGTTAGCAGTTAGCATCCAGTAGCTACAGCTGGTACCTGACCGACACTCCGGGGATACACTGACCGATAAAAGGCTTCTCCCAGCGGGTTCCAGTTGGCTGTGATGAACGCCATGTTGTTTCCCTCCGGGGAGATGAAGACGTCTTCAGGCCGTTGATGATGATGATGAAGAGTCGCTGTTAGCTTTAGCTTCCAATCAGTCAGCTGATCGCTTCCACAACAGCTGCTTCTTCTTCTTCTTCTTGTTTCCGGCAGCCTAGACGCTCCTGCGGCGTGTTGCTGCCCTCCTCTGTTCGTTATTCACATCTTAACGCTGCTTGCCTGGATCCTTTTGTAGAAACCAGTTTTATGTAGGTACTCGATCAGTTTCTTCATTTTGTTCCAACTATCTAAGTTAACTAGAGTGCGTGTGTTAAATATATTTCTCCAATTGCTCCCAGGTCTCTAAACAGTTTCCTCCTTTGGCGAGAGTACTTCCTAAAATGTACTAGTACACGCTTCACTGTTTCCTCGTCTCCACATTTTCCATCAGGATGCTTCCCAGCCAGAGCCCAAACCTCAGTCTCTCGTCTCTTATATCTAAAGGCACTTTTTCCTTTCTCTACAGGTCCTTCTCCCCTTCCTGTCGTTTCCCCATGATTTCTGCCACTTTTCTGTCACTGACCTATTTATTATTTCTGTAATCCGGATTGACCCGTCAGTGTAGATTTGTAGGTGGCCTCCCCGTAGTTGACACATCCGGGCGTTTATTTCCTTCGCTACAGCCTCTGACATCTTTCTTTTGCTTGTTTCCATAAAATATAGGTCAACATTTGGATCAACCATGAAGGTATATCTGGAGGACATGCATTCAAATTCACGATACCAGTTTACTGCTATAGATTTGAGTTTTTCTGTAAAGTTTGTTTTGATCCTTCTTGCTGTTCCCATGAACTCCCAATGCTGCCTCAGCAGGCTTTTTGTTGGTGGTTTTCCATCCCGTCTGAAATGGAAATCTGTCCTTTAGTGAGTCTTCTGAAATAAAGAGTCCAATCCAGACGTCTTTTAAGAGTTTTATTCTTTGCAAAGGGTCAGACAACATACAGAGTGCAAAACAGTCTGCACAGTGTAAGACAAATAGCCAGTGAAGAAGCAGGTGACCTAACCCAGTGAAACACTGGTCTATTCTGATGAAGCATGCAGGGTGAAACAGTAAACACAGCAAAATATCAAATTTCCATCACACGTTCTTTTAGTTTCATTAAATACTTCAAACCAAGTTTATGTCTTCTCATTACTAACAGCATCTCTCCTGTTTCTTCACAGTTATCATTGCTCTGAATATCATCATTATAGATTCACATATCCCAGTCAGACCCAGCCACACACCTCAGGACATTCATTATTTTCAAGGAAACCATCTTAATATGCCTCTTCCATGTCATCCTTTCATCTGACAGCAGCCCTATTATAGATCTGAAACGTATTTTCTTCTTATGTCCAAATATCATGTGTTAGATATTTTAAAGCCCGTTTACTTACTTTGTCCAATGTAGCTTGCGTTTGGCCGTAAATATAGGAGAGGTTCCTCCCTTGCTTCCAGATGGCCCCATCATCTGCAAATAATGGGAACCTGAATTCCTTCCCCACTCTACTAAACACACCATTGACTGGTATATTAAAGAGCAGTGGGCTTATTACACTACCCTGAGGGGCTCCGTTCTCCAGCTCCTCTGGGAACTTGCTTCCCACCATCGCCTGAGTTAAAAATTTTTTGATCCAGTTAAACGTTCTTCCTCCGATTCCAGCGTCATGAAGTGCAATTAGCAGCCCCTCCTTCCAAAGCCCGTCCCAGGCTTCTTCAATGTCCAGAAACACAGCTCCGGCTGCCTCTTTATTTACAATGGCTTTTTTAATGCCACTATCTAACCCTACAACGGCATCCATTGTTGATCGTCCTTGTCTGAATCCACTCTGATATTCATAAACAGCTGCTTCTTCTTCTACAGTGCAATAACCAGCACAGCGCGGCGGTCGCCTCCGACAGGTGCTCCTTCTTCTTCTCCTGGATGGAAAAGAAGATTTTATTTCTTTTTCTCTTCTTTTTAAGAAAGGACGAGTCTTCCACACCTCCTCCTTTCTCCAGTGAAACTCTCAGCATGGGCAGTGAGAGGCCCTGAACGCCTCTCCTGGAGGGCCCTGTACTCCATCCGGTACTCTTCTGGTAGATGTGGAACACGGCACTTACCGTCTAACTGGAGTCTGTGACAACAACAAACATCACCCAGATTACATTTATTCATTTAGCTGACGCTTTTTATCCAAAGCGGTTAAGTGTGGGTTAAGTGTCTTGCTCAGGGACAGAATGGTGGATGTCTCACAGGGGGAATCGCACCCAGGTCTCCCACACCAAAGGCAAACATCTTATCTATGCGCCACCACCCCATTAAACAGAGAGGACAGAGACAGGCTGTACATGTTAACATGTACTAGTACTATAGATGCGGTAAAATACAGTAGAAGCAGTAAAATAGAGTAAGTACTATAGACGCAGTAAAATAGAGTAGACGCAGTAAAATAGACTAAGTACTATAGACGTGGTAAAATACAGTAGATGCAGTAAAATAGAGAAAGTACTATAGATGCAGTAACATACAGTAGACGTAGTAACACAGTAAGTACTATAGACGCAGTAACGTACAGTAGACGTAGTAACATACAGTAAGTACTATAGACGCAGTAACATACAGTAGACGTAGTAACATACAGTAAGTACTATAGACGCGGTAAAATACAGTAGATGCAGTAAAATAGAGTAAGTACTATAGATGCAGTAACATACAGTAGACGTAGTAACATACAGTAAGTACTATAGACGCAGTAACATACAGTAGACGTAGTAACACAGTAAGTACTATAGACGCAGTAACATACAGTAGACGTAGTAACATACAGTAAGTACTATAGACGCAGTAAATACAGTAGACGTAGTAACATACAGTAAGTACTATAGACGCAGTAACATACAGTAGACGTAGTAACATACAGTAAGTACTATAGACGCGGTAAAATACAGTAGATGCAGTAAAATAGAGTAAGTACTATAGACGCAGAAACATACAGTAGACGTAGTAACACAGTAAGTACTATAGATGCAGTAACATACAGTAGACGTAGTAACATACAGTAAGTACTATAGACGCAGTAACATACAGTAGACGTAGTAACACAGTAAGTACTATAGATGCAGTAACATACAGTAGACGTAGTAACATACAGTAAGTACTATAGACGCAGTAACATACAGTAGACGTAGTAACACAGTAAGTACTATAGATGCAGTAACATACAGTAGACGTAGTAACATACAGTAAGTACTATAGACGCAGTAACATACAGTAGACGTAATAACATACAGTAAGTACTATAGACGCAGTAACATACAGTAGACGTAGTAACATACAGTAAGTACTATAGACGCAGTAAATACAGTAGACGTAGTAACATACAGTAAGTACTATAGATGCAGTAACATACAGTAGACGTAGTAACATACAGTAAGTACTATAGACGCAGTAACATACAGTAGACGTAGTAACATACAGTAAGTACTATAGACGCGGTAAAATACAGTAGATGCAGTAAAATAGAGTAAGTACTATAGACGCAGAAACATACAGTAGACGTAGTAACACAGTAAGTACTATAGATGCAGTAACATACAGTAGACGTAGTAACATACAGTAAGTACTATAGACGCAGTAACATACAGTAGACGTAGTAACATACAGTAAGTACTATAGACGCGGTAACATACAGTAGACGTAGTAACATACAGTAAGTACTATAGACGCGGTAAAATACAGTAGATGCAGTAAAATAGAGTAAGTACTATAGACGCAGTAACATACAGTAGACGTAGTAACACAGTAAGTACTATAGATGCAGTAACATACAGTAGACGTAGTAACATACAGTAAGTACTATAGACGCAGTAACATACAGTAGACGTAATAACATACAGTAAGTACTATAGACGCAGTAACATACAGTAGACGTAGTAACATACAGTAAGTACTATAGACGCAGTAAATACAGTAGACGTAGTAACATACAGTAAGTACTATAGACGCAGTAACATACAGTAGACGTAGTAACATACAGTAAGTACTATAGACGCAGTAACATACAGTAGACGTAGTAACATACAGTAAGTACTATAGACGCGGTAAAATACAGTAGATGCAGTAAAATAGAGTAAGTACTATAGACGCAGAAACATACAGTAGACGTAGTAACATACAGTAAGTACTATAGATGCAGTAACATACAGTAGACGTAGTAACATACAGTAAGTACTATAGACGCAGGAAAGGCAGGAAGAGACGCTCACATCATGGAATTCATTCAAACACAATGCAGTCATTACTCTGCAGTGCAGCGGGAGGGTTCCTTTAATGAACCGAGGTGTTATTCAGGAACATCAGGAAACCCCCTCGCTGCACTCCAGAGTAATGACTGTATTGTGTTTGTATGAATTCCATGATGTGAGCGTCTCTTCCTGTTTCCACCTTGTTCCACTCTGACCTACTGCAGAACAGTTCTCTGTGTTCCAACGCTGCTGCACACACTCTGTTGAAGAACGGTTCTAAATACAGTTAATAAATAAAGTTAGTAAACAGAGACACAACCCTAAACCAACATTTCCCTAATGTTCCACTAAGGTAGCGTTCCCCTCTGGTTCCCTTCAGGTTCCACTAATGATTCTTTACAGTCCTTCTGAGGTTTCTCTAACATCCCCCAAAAGTTCCTCCAAGATTCCCCTGAGGTTCTGCTTAGGTCCTGCATTTTCCTATGCCCCTCCCAATGAGTCTTGTAAAGATCCTCTGAGGTTCTATTCACATCCCCAAGGTTCCTTTATAGTTCTTGTAAGGTTCCTCTAAGGTTTCACTAATGGCAAATGGCTGAAAGGTTGAGCTGTCTACAGGTTCCCATAAAGTTTCTATTAAGTTCCACTAAGGTTCCCCTAGCATCCCCTATACTACAAGGTTCCTCTAAAGTTCCTCTACCTACTGCAGCTCCTCTGATTTCCCCCTAGTGTTCTGTTATCTCATCTTTCCCCTATGGATTTCTGCAGAGTTCTACTAAGGTTCCCCTAGGGTGACCCCAGAGTTTCTCCTAGCTAGCCTGTTTTCACTGAAGTCCCACAAATACATTCTCAAATCTTTTACACGATCCCCTGGTTCCCCCAAATTTCGCTAAGGTTCCACTAATGTGGCTTCAGTGTTCCACGTGCTTCTTACCACAGGTGTAGGACTCGGTGTGGGGGCCGGAGTATACAGGGCCCTCACGTGAGGAGGGTCCACCAACGTAATGACCAGCCGAGGAGAACACCTGTGTTCACGTGTTCTTACATTTCAAACCAATTCAGCCTCAGAAGTTCTGGATTGACCAAATCCTGGTCCGGTTTCCCTCAAAGCACAGACTCAGACTTTCAGACCAGCAAACAAAGAACCAGCAGTCAGTGACATGTTTTATACTTTGTTTCTGTTGGTTTAAGGTCAGCATTCAGTCAGTGGAGCCTGTACAGCACACAGAGGGCGAGAGACATTCACACAAGCAGGGGAGAGAGAGAGAGAGGGTGAGAGACATTCACACAAACAGGGGAGAGAGAGGGCGAGACATTCACACAAACAGGGGAGAGAGAGGGCGAGACATTCACACAAACAGGGGAGAGAGAGGGCAAGAGACATTCACACAAACAGGGGAGAGAGAGGGAGAGAGACATTCACACAAACAGGGGAGAGAGAGGGCGAGAGACATTCACACAAACAGGGGAGAGAGAGGGCAAGAGACATTCACACAAACAGGGGAGAGAGAGGGAGAGAGACATTCACACAAACAGGGGAGAGAGAGGGAGAGAGAGCTTTCCTTCCAGATGACTTCACCTTAAAAACATGAGAGAGCGAGCTACACTAACACTCTCTCTCTGCACACACACAGTAGTCATGGTAACAGACCCCTCCCCTCTGGGTGTGGTAGAGAGACACTGAGCTTCAGGCTGAAAGCTGCAGAGAGAGAGAGAGTTAACCCTTTAATGAGTCTTTTATTTTGACGTTTCTGCATCTCAGACGGGAAACAAACAATAACAACAACAACAACAACAACCAATAAATGGAAGTTAACTAAACTCTGCGGCGGTGAAGCAGGTCAGGGCCACCGTCCCTCCTCAGCCAGCTGCAGAGGCTTCAGCCGTGGCAGTGAAGGAGTTAAAGGTGTGGACGTTTCCACAGTCGGGAAGTTGGATGGAAAGTTTTCCTCTGAGCCAACCAATCAGAGCGCAGTACACACACACTCGCAGAGAGAGAGAGGGTGGACGGGCGAGGCAGAGTCCCAGTGTTTTTCTGCAGCAGAAAGAGTTTCGGGGGTTTTTGGTTCGACATTGAGTTGATGTGTGAGGACAGAGTCATCATGGTGACCACCGAGACCCACCAGAGCCAGGACCTACTGGTCCCTTCCCTGAACCAGGACCTGCAGGACCAGCAGGACCCGCTGGACCAGCAGGAGGAGAACCAGGCCTCCCCCTCGTCCCCCCTGGCAGGATTTGACTCTGAGGCAATGAGTCAGGGTCCCGTCAACGCCATCACGGTCCTCACTCTGCTGGATAAACTTGTCAACATGCTGGACGCCGTGCAGGAAAACCAGAACAAGATGGAGGTGAGCCAGGGGTGGGACCACACCTCGACATAAGGTCTGAGTGTGAGAGTCCAGGACGGACTACAGTACTAACTCCAGTTCAGACACCAGTACAAAATTCTAACACTGTACTAACTCCAGTTCAGACACCAGTACTAACACCAGTTACCAACTCCAGTTCAGACACCAGTACTAACACCAGTTACTAACTCCAGTTCAGACACCAGTACTAACACCAGTTACCAACTCCAGTTCAGACACCAGTACTAACACCAGTTACTAACTCCAGTTCAGACACCAGTACTAACACCAGTTACCAACTCCAGTTCAGACACCAGTACTAACACCAGTTACTAACTCCAGTTCAGACACCAGTACTAACACCAGTTACTAACTCCAGTTCAGACACCAGTACTAACATCAATTACTAACTCCAGTTCAGACACCAGTACCAACACCAGTTACTAACTCCGGTTCAGACACCAGTTCAGACACCAGTACCAACTCCAGTTCAGACACCAGTACTAACACCAGTTACTAACTCCAATTCAGACACCAGTACTAACACCAGTTACTAACTCCAGTTCAGTTACCAACTCCAGTTCAGACACCAGTACTAACACCAGTTACTAACTCCAGTTCAGACACCAGTACTAACACCAGTTACTAACTCCAGTTCAGACACCAGTACCAACTCCAGTTCAGACACCAGTACCAACTCCAGTTCAGACACCAGTACCAACACCAGTTACCAACTCCAGTTCAGACACCAGTACAGACACCAGTACCAACTCCAGTTCAGACACCAGTACTAACACCAGTTACTAACTCTAGTTCAGACACCAGTTACTAACTGTGGTTCAGACACCAGTACTAACACCAGTTACTAACTCTAATTCAGACACCAGTACTAACACCAGTTACCAACTCCAGTTCAGACACCAGTACTAACACCAGTTACCAACTCCAGTTCAGACACCAGTACTAACACCAGTTACTAACTCCAGTTCAGACACCAGTACTAACACCAGTTACCAACTCCAGTTCAGACACCAGTACTAACACCAGTTACTAACTCCAGTTCAGACACCAGTACCAACACCAGTTACTAACTCTAATTCAGACACCAGTACTAACACCAGTTACTAACTCCAGTTCAGACACCAGTACCAACACCAGTTACCAACTCCAGTTCAGACACCAGTACTAACACCAGTTACTAACTCCAGTTCAGACACCAGTACTAACACCAGTTACCAACTCCAGTTCAGACACCAGTACTAACACCAGTTACTAACTCCAGTTCAGACACCAGTACCAACACCAGTTACTAACTCTAATTCAGACACCAGTACTAACACCAGTTACTAACTCCAGTTCAGACACCAGTACCAACACCAGTTACTAACTCCGGTTCAGACACCAGTTCAGACAGCAGTACCAACTCCAGTTCAGACACCAGTACCAACACCAGTTACTAACTCCGGTTCAGACACCAGTACCAACTCTGGTTCAGACACCAGTACCAACTCCAGTTCAGACACCAGTACCAACTCCAGTTCAGACACCAGTACTAACACCAGTTACCAACTCCAGTTCAGACACCAGTACTAACACCAGTTACTAACTCCAGTTCAGACACCAGTACTAACACCAGTTACTAACTCCAGTTCAGACACCAGTTACTAACTCCAGTTCTGACACCAGTACTAACTCTGGTTCAGACACCAGTACAACATACTTACATTGTACTAACTCCAGTTCAGACATCAGTACTAACTGTGGTTCAGACACCAGTACTAACTGTGGTTCAGACACCAGTACTAGCTGTGGTTCAGACACCAGTACAACGTACTTACACTGTACTAACTGTGGTTCAGACACCAGTACTAACTGTGGTTCAGACACCAGTACTAACTGTGGTTCAGACACCAGTACAACGTACTTACACTGTACTAACTCCAGTTCAGACACAAGTACTAACTGTGGTTCAGACACCAGTACTGACACCAGTACTAACTCCAGTTCAGACACCAGTACTAACTGTGGTTCAGACACCAGTACAACGTACTTACACTGTACTAACTCCAGTTCAGACACAAGTACTAACTATGGTTCAGACACCAGTACTGACACCAGTACTAACTGTGGTTCAGACACCAGTACTAACTGTGGTTCAGACACCAGTACTAACTGTGGTTCAGACACCAGTACAACGTACTTACACTGTACTAACTCCAGTTCAGACACCAGTACTAACTGTGGTTCAGACACCAGTACTAACTGTGGTTCAGACACCAGTACAACGTACTTACACTGTACTAACTCCAGTTCAGACACCAGTACTAACTGTGGTTCAGACACCAGTACTAACTGTGGTTCAGACACCAGTACAACGTACTTACACTGTACTAACTCCAGTTCAGACACAAGTACTAACTATGGTTCAGACACCAGTACTGACACCAGTACTAACTCCAGTTCAGACACCAGTACTAACTCCGGTTCAGACACCAGTACTAACTGTGGTTCAGACACCAGTACAACATACTTACACTGTACTAACTCCAGTTCAGACACAAGTACTAACTGTGGTTCAGACACCAGTACTGACACCAGTACTAACTCCAGTTCAGACACCAGTACTAACTGTGGTTCAGACACCAGTACTAACTGTGGTTCAGACACCAGTACTAGCTGTGGTTCAGACACCAGTACAACGTACTTACACTGTACTAACTCCAGTTCAGACACCAGTACTAACTGTGGTTCAGACACCAGTACTGACACCAGTACTAACTCCAGTTCAGACACCAGTACTAACTCCGGTTCAGACACCAGTACTAACTGTGGTTCAGACACCAGTACAACATACTTACACTGTACTAACTCCAGTTCAGACACAAGTACTAACTGTGGTTCAGACACCAGTACTGACACCAGTACTAACTCCAGTTCAGACACCAGTACTAACTCCGGTTCAGACACCAGTACTAACTGTGGTTCAGACACCAGTACTAGCTGTGGTTCAGACACCAGTACAACGTACTTACACTGTACTAACTCCAGTTCAGACACCAGTACTAACTGTGGTTCAGACACCAGTACTAACTCTAGTTCAGACACCAGTTACTAACTGTGGTTCAGACACCAGTACTAACACCAGTTACTAACTCTAATTCAGACACCAGTACTAACACCAGTTACCAACTCCAGTTCAGACACCAGTACTAACACCAGTTACCAACTCCAGTTCAGACACCAGTACTAACACCAGTTACTAACTCCAGTTCAGACACCAGTACTAACACCAGTTACCAACTCCAGTTCAGACACCAGTACTAACACCAGTTACTAACTCCAGTTCAGACACCAGTACCAACACCAGTTACTAACTCTAATTCAGACACCAGTACTAACACCAGTTACTAACTCCAGTTCAGACACCAGTACCAACACCAGTTACCAACTCCAGTTCAGACACCAGTACTAACACCAGTTACTAACTCCAGTTCAGACACCAGTACTAACACCAGTTACCAACTCCAGTTCAGACACCAGTACTAACACCAGTTACTAACTCCAGTTCAGACACCAGTACCAACACCAGTTACTAACTCTAATTCAGACACCAGTACTAACACCAGTTACTAACTCCAGTTCAGACACCAGTACCAACACCAGTTACTAACTCCGGTTCAGACACCAGTTCAGACAGCAGTACCAACTCCAGTTCAGACACCAGTACCAACACCAGTTACTAACTGTGGTTCAGACACCAGTACCAACTCTGGTTCAGACACCAGTACCAACTCCAGTTCAGACACCAGTACCAACTCCAGTTCAGACACCAGTACTAACACCAGTTACCAACTCCAGTTCAGACACCAGTACTAACACCAGTTACTAACTCCAGTTCAGACACCAGTACTAACACCAGTTACTAACTCCAGTTCAGACACCAGTTACTAACTCCAGTTCTGACACCAGTACTAACTCTGGTTCAGACACCAGTACAACATACTTACATTGTACTAACTCCAGTTCAGACATCAGTACTAACTGTGGTTCAGACACCAGTACTAACTGTGGTTCAGACACCAGTACTAGCTGTGGTTCAGACACCAGTACAACGTACTTACACTGTACTAACTGTGGTTCAGACACCAGTACTAACTGTGGTTCAGACACCAGTACTAACTGTGGTTCAGACACCAGTACAACGTACTTACACTGTACTAACTCCAGTTCAGACACAAGTACTAACTGTGGTTCAGACACCAGTACTGACACCAGTACTAACTCCAGTTCAGACACCAGTACTAACTGTGGTTCAGACACCAGTACAACGTACTTACACTGTACTAACTCCAGTTCAGACACAAGTACTAACTATGGTTCAGACACCAGTACTGACACCAGTACTAACTGTGGTTCAGACACCAGTACTAACTGTGGTTCAGACACCAGTACTAACTGTGGTTCAGACACCAGTACAACGTACTTACACTGTACTAACTCCAGTTCAGACACCAGTACTAACTGTGGTTCAGACACCAGTACTAACTGTGGTTCAGACACCAGTACAACGTACTTACACTGTACTAACTCCAGTTCAGACACCAGTACTAACTGTGGTTCAGACACCAGTACTAACTGTGGTTCAGACACCAGTACAACGTACTTACACTGTACTAACTCCAGTTCAGACACAAGTACTAACTATGGTTCAGACACCAGTACTGACACCAGTACTAACTCCAGTTCAGACACCAGTACTAACTCCGGTTCAGACACCAGTACTAACTGTGGTTCAGACACCAGTACAACATACTTACACTGTACTAACTCCAGTTCAGACACAAGTACTAACTGTGGTTCAGACACCAGTACTGACACCAGTACTAACTCCAGTTCAGACACCAGTACTAACTGTGGTTCAGACACCAGTACTAACTGTGGTTCAGACACCAGTACTAGCTGTGGTTCAGACACCAGTACAACGTACTTACACTGTACTAACTCCAGTTCAGACACCAGTACTAACTGTGGTTCAGACACCAGTACTGACACCAGTACTAACTCCAGTTCAGACACCAGTACTAACTCCGGTTCAGACACCAGTACTAACTGTGGTTCAGACACCAGTACAACATACTTACACTGTACTAACTCCAGTTCAGACACAAGTACTAACTGTGGTTCAGACACCAGTACTGACACCAGTACTAACTCCAGTTCAGACACCAGTACTAACTCCGGTTCAGACACCAGTACTAACTGTGGTTCAGACACCAGTACTAGCTGTGGTTCAGACACCAGTACAACGTACTTACACTGTACTAACTCCAGTTCAGACACCAGTACTAACTGTGGTTCAGACACCAGTACTAACTGTGGTTCAGACACCAGTACTGACACCAGTACTAACTCTAGTTCAGACACCAGTACAACGTACTTACACTGTACTAATTCCAGTTCAGACACCAGTACTAGCTGTGGTTCAGACACCAGTACAACGTACTTACACTGTACTAACTCCAGTTCAGACACCAGTACTAACTGTGGTTCAGACACCAGTACTAACTCCGGTTCAGACACCAGTACTAGCTGTGGTTCAGACACCAGTACTGACACCAGTACTAACTCTAGTTCAGACACCAGTACTAGCTGTGGTTCAGACACCAGTACTGACACCAGTACTAACTCTAGTTCAGACACCAGTACAACGTACTTACACTGTACTAATTCCAGTTCAGACACCAGTACTAGCTGTGGTTCAGACACCAGTACAACGTACTTACACTGTACTAACTCCAGTTCAGACACCAGTACTAACTGTGGTTCAGACACCAGTACTGACACCAGTACTAACTCCAGTTCAGACACCAGTACTAACTCCGGTTCAGACACCAGTACTAACTGTGGTTCAGACACCAGTACAACATACTTACACTGTACTAACTCCAGTTCAGACACCAGTACTAACTCCAGTTCAGACACCAGTACTAACTCCGGTTCAGACACCAGTACTAACTGTGGTTCAGACACCAGTACAACATACTTACACTGTACTAACTCCAGTTCAGACACCAGTACTAACTCCAGTTCAGACACCAGTACTAACTCCGGTTCAGACACCAGTACAACATACTTACACTGTACTAACTCCAGTTCAGACACCAGTACTAACTGTGGTTCAGACACCAGTACTAACTGTGGTTCAGACACCAGTACTGACACCAGTACTAACTCTAGTTCAGACACCAGTACAACGTACTTACACTGTACTAATTCCAGTTCAGACACTAGTACTGACACCAGTTACTAACTCCAGTTCAGACACCAGTACTGACACCAGTTACTAACTCCAGTTCAGATACCAGTACTAACACCAAAAACTGACTGTTCATCAGTGAACAGTCAGTTCATAATCTTTGTCTGCATCTTTATCAAAAGATAAATTCGAGCTACTTCCTGTTACTGCTGCTGCTGCTGTGTTTGTATTTCACAGTTCAGATGGTATCTGAAAGATCTTTAACATGTTAGAACAGGTTTTCTGTCAGACTGGCTCCATTCTCACAGAAACTGTCAGTCAACATGAACTACCTTTAACAACGGATTAAAGTGGAAGAAATCAACAATGACTGAATTGAAAGACATTTCCAGTTTCGGACATGTGAGGATCCGTCCCAAAAAACAAACACTGACTGATAAACTCAGACTAAAACCAGAATCTGGGCCCACAGGACTTCAGCAGACTGTTTCATCTGCTGTGATGCTGCAGAGTGAACTTAAGAGACCAGATACTCTGTCTGTAGCTGCAGTCACAGTGAACTATTCACACCACAATGAGACAAACACCTGGATGTCAAACTAACAGGTGTCAGTCACTGTCTGAACCACATTCAGACCATCAGTGGTGGTTCCTTTAGCAACAAGCTAAGCTAGCAAGCCTCTACGAAAAACGTAAACCAGTGCTAAACGTTTTGAGATTGAACTCGGAGGGCGTGGTCAGAGGGTGCAGGCTGGTATCTGATTGGTTTTTGGCTGTTTGTGTTTCAGGTGCATCAGGTAGAGATGGAGGGCGTGGTCAGAGGGATCCAGGCTGATATGACCAAGCTGTCCAAGAGCCACAGCCACACCTCCAACACCGTCAGCAAGCTGCTGGACAAGAGCCGCAAACTGTCCGTCACCATGAAGGAGGTCAGGACTGGTGTTACCTGTGTGACCTCACCTGCCACCTGTCAGAGTTCAGCTCTGCTAAAAACCTCTGCTTGTCTCTGCAGGTTCGTGATAAGATGGAGCGTCAGGGCGTCCAGGTGAAGAAGCTGGAGGCGAACCACGCCCACCTGATCAACAGAAACAACTTTAAAGTCCTCATCTTCCAGGTCAGTGTGATGAGCAGAGCTGAAGGTCAGAGGTCACAGGTCAGGTAGGGGCTGACTGTGAAATTCATTGTCGCAGTTTAAGCAAATACAAGATTCAAGTTTTGCTAACTTTACTGATTTTCATTATGTAAAACTTGTATTTAAATGGACGTGCTCCTCAGCCTTTATGTAAGTACATTAAGAGACTACAGAGTAGCAGCAGATCCACCAGAGCAGCTTCAAATGGCGATTGTAAAGTTTCATTTTGCAAAACTTCTTTTGCTCAGACGGCGTTTTCTGTAAAAGGAGCAAAGTCTTGGAACTTGCTACCTAAACACTTGAAAACTGCTGCAAACTTCATCACTTTTAAAAGAGAGGCTGAGTCCTGGTTAGTTCAGCAACAAACTGTTTCGGTTAGTGGTGATGAGGCAGGTTGGAGGACCCAAATGCAGGACGCAAGGCAGAGGAGGTGCAGTTCAAAGGGGGTTTATTGTGGCAAAACAAACAAAAGGCAAGCACACTTACTGACAGAGTCCAAAAAACAAGGTAATCCCAACAGAAATCAAAAGGAACAGGGTGACAAGACGAGCGAGGCTGACAACAGGAAACAGAGCGTATACACACGACAGACAGGGGGTAACACAAACAATGACCGGACGAAGACTGAAGAGAAACAACAAACATATATACACATGGGACTGACGAGCAGGGCGGGAGTAACACAGGTGACAGACATGAGGCTAACAAGACACAGGCGGGCAGAGAGAGAGCAGGGGAAAACAGAGAGACTGACATGCAGAGGGATTACTGGGGTAACAGACACAACACAGGCTACTCAACACTAAACACAGGCCATATCACAAGAAGTAACAGATCAGAAATAAACAAACTAACTCAGACATGAGCAGACTAAACTAGAATAATGCAGACAAGGAACCTGAAGTAAATACTAACACATGAACCAAGGCACACGACTGGGAACAAAGACAGAACTAAAACACAGAACCAAGAGCTAAGATAAGAGACAAGACATAAACTACTAAGGACAAGGAACAAGAGAAACAGACAAATAGAAGGACACATGAAACAATGGCAAAAACTCACAGGGAAAAAGTACAACTCGTAACAGGAACATGTACTCACATCTAGTTTACTGCATTACATGTTTTTATTGTATTTTACCTCCTTTTATCTTGTGTCATTGTAATGTCATCATCATATTGCATTTTCCTTTTTCTTTCATTACTGTTTTAATGTTTTATTTCTTTAAAAGCCCTTCTAGGGACAGGTGTTGCAAATTAGCAATTGCTAATAGTCTCCATACTCCACTTTGAAAATAGTCATAGCTGTACTAACAGTAGTAGTAACAGAAGTAGTAACATTAGTAGTGGAAGCCAAAGTACCAGTAGTAGTAGTACTTGCAGTAGTAGTAGTAACATTAGTAGTAACAGAAGTAGTGTCAGCTAAATTAATGTATTGTAATGTAATGTAGCAGTAACAGTAGTAGAAGCAGAAGCAACAGTAGTAGTAACAGTAGTAAATAAAGAAGTAGTAACAGTACTAGTAGAAGCAGAAGTAACAGTAGTAGTAGTAATAGAAGTAGTAACAGTAGTAGTAACAGTAATAGATAAAGAAGTAGTAACAGTACTAGTAGAAGCAGAAGTAACAGTAGTAGTAACAGTAATAGATAAAGAAGTAGTAACAGTACTAGTAGAAGCAGAAGTAACAGTAGTAGTAACAGTAATAGATAAAGAAGTAGTAACAGTACTAGTAGAAGCAGAAGTAACAGTAGTAGTAACAGTAATAGATAAAGAAGTAGTAACAGTACTAGTAGAAGCAGAAGTAACAGTAGTAGTAGTAACAGAAGTAGTAGAAGCAGAAGTAACATTAGTAGTAACAGTAATAAATAAAGAAGTAGTAACAGTAGTAGTAGTAACAGTAGTAGTAGAAGCAGAAGTAACATTAGTAGTAACAGTAATAAATAAAGAAGTAGTAACAGTAGTAGTAACAGTAATAGATAAAGAAGTAGTAACAGTAGTAGTAGAAGCAGAAGTAACAGTAGTAGTAACAGTACTAGATAAAGAAGTAGTAACAGTAATAGATAAAGAAGTAGTAACAGTAGTAGTAACAGTAATAGATAAAGAAGTAGTAACAGTAATAGATAAAGAAGTAGTAACAGTAGTAGTAACAGTAATAGATAAAGAAGCAGTAACAGTAGTAGTAACAGTAATAGATAAAGAAGTAGTAACAGTAGTAGTAACAGTAATAGATAAAGAAGTAGTAACAGTAATAGATAAAGAAGTAGTAACAGTAGTAGTAACAGTAATAGATAAAGAAGTAGTAACAGTAATAGATAAAGAAGTAGTAACAGTAGTAGTAACAGTAATAGATAAAGAAGTAGTAACAGTAGTAGTAGTAACAGTAATAGATAAAGAAGTAGTAACAGTAGTAGTAACAGTAATAGATAAAGAAGTAGTAACAGTAATAGATAAAGAAGTAGTAACAGGAGTAGTAGAAGCAGAAGTAACAGTAGTAGTAACAGTAATAGATAAAGAAGTAGTAACAGTAGTAGTAACAGAAGTAGTAACAGTAGTAGTAGTACTTGCAGTAGTAGTAGTAACATTAGTAGTAACAGAAGTAGTGTCAGCTAAATTAATGTATTGTAATGTAATGTAGTAGTAACAGTAGTAGAAGCAGAAGCAACAGTAGTAGTAACAGTAGTAAATAAAGAATTAGTAACAGTACTAGTAGAAACAGAAGTAACAGTAGTAGTAGTAATAGAAGTAGTAACAGTAGTAGTAACAGTAATAGATAAAGAAGTAGTAACAGTACTAGTAGAAGCAGAAGTAACAGTAGTAGTAGTAATAGAAGTAGTAGAAGCAGAAGTAACATTAGTAGTAACAGTAATAGATAAAGAAGTAGTAACAGTAGTAGTAGAAGCAGAAGTAACAGTAGTAGTAGTAATAGAAGTAGTAGAAGCAGAAGTAACATTAGTAGTAACAGTAATAGATAAAGAAGTAGTAACAGTAGTAGTAGAAGCAGAAGTAACAGTAGTAGTAACAGTACTAGATAAAGAAGTAGTAACAGTAGTAGTAACAGTAATAGATAAAGAAGTAGTAACAGTAGTAGTAACAGTAATAGATAAAGAAGTAGTAACAGTAGTAGTAGAAGCAGAAGTAACAGTAGTAGTAACAGTAATAGATAAAGAAGTAGTAACAGTAGTAGTAACAGTAATAGATAAAGAAGTAGTAACAGTAGTAGTAACAGTAATAGATAAAGAAGTAGTAACAGTAGTAGTAACAGAAGTAGTAACAGTAATAGATAAAGAAGTAGTAACAGTAGTAGAAGCAGAAGTAACAGTAGTAGTAACAGTAATAGATAAAGAAGTAGTAACAGTAGTAGTAACAGTAATAGATAAAGAAGTAGTAACAGTAGTAGTAACAGAAGTAGTAACAGTAGTAGTAACAGTAATAGATAAAGAAGTAGTAACAGTAGTAGTAACAGAAGTAGTAACAGTAATAGATAAAGAAGTAGTAACTGTAGTAGTAGAAGCAGAAGTAACAGTAGTAGTAACAGTAATAGATAAAGAAGTAGTAACAGTAGTAGTAACAGTAATAGATAAAGAAGTAGTAACAGTAGTAGTAGAAGCAGAAGTAACAGTAGTAGTAACAGTACTAGATAAAGAAGTAGTAACAGTAGTAGTAGAAGCAGAAGTGACAGTAGTATTAACAGTACTAGATAAAGAAGTAGTAACAGTAGTAGTAACAATAATAGATAAAGAAGTAGTAACAGTAGTAGTAGAAGCAGAAGTAACAGTAGTAGTAACAGTAATAGATAAAGAAGTAGTAACAGTAGTAGTAGAAGCAGAAGTAACAGTAGTAGTAACAGTAATAGATAAAGAAGTAGTAACAGTAGTAGTAGAAGCAGAAGTAACAGTAGTAGTAACAGTAATAGATAAAGAAGTAGTAACAGTAGTAGTAGAAGCAGAAGTAACAGTAGTAGTAACAGACGTAGATACAGAAGTAATAGCAGTAGTAGTAGAGGCAGAAGTAACAGTAGTAGTAGTAACAGAAGTAGTAACAGTAGTAGTAACAGTAATAGATAAAAAAGTAGTAACAGTAGTAACAGAAGTAGTAACAGTAGTAGTAACAGTAATAGATAAAGAAGTAGTAACAGTAATAGATAAAGAAGTAGTAACAGTAGTAGTAGTAACAGAAGTAGTAACAGTAGTAGTAACAGTAATAGATGAAGAAGTAATAGCAGTAGTAGTAGAGGCAGAAGTAACAGTAGTAGTAACAGTAATAGATAAAGTAGTAACAGTAGTAGTAACAGTAGTAGTAACAGTAATAGATAAAGAAGTGGTAACAGTAGTAGATACAGAAATAGTAGCAGTAGTAGTAGAAGCAGAAGTAACAGTAGTAGTAGTAATAGAAGTAGTAACAGTAGTAGTAACAGTAATAGATAAAAAAGTAGTAACAGTAGTAACAGAAGTAGTAACAGTAGTAGTAACAGTAATAGATAAAGAAGTAGTAACAGTAGTAGTAGTAACAGAAGTAGTAACAGTAGTAGTAACAGTAATAGATGAAGAAGTAATAGCAGTAGTAGTAGAGGCAGAAGTAACAGTAGTAGTAACAGTAATAGATAAAGTAGTAACAGTAGTAGTAACAGTAGTAGTAACAGTAATAGATAAAGAAGTAGTAACAGTAGTAACAGAAGTAGTAACAGTAGTAGTAGAGGCAGAAGTAACAGTTGTAGTAACAGTAGTAGAAGCAGAAGTAGTAACAGTAGTAGTAGTAACAGTAGTAGTAGTAGTAGTAGTAGTAGTAACAGTAGTAGTAACAGTAATAGATAAAGAAGTAGTAACAGTAGTAGTAGATACAGAAGTAGTAACAGTAATAGATAAAGAAGTAGTAACCGTAGCAGTAGAAGCAGTAGTAGTAGTAGTAGTAGTAGTAGTAACAGTAGTAGTACTACTACTAGTAGTAGTAGTAATAGTACTCCTCATGATGAATGAACTGATCTTGATGTGTAGCACAGTTAAACTGTCACTTATCTGTCTGATATGACAAAACATGATGACTAAAGTCATCATCAATCAAATATCAAACTAATCAAACGTATTAAACATCTGCTCTGTAAGTAAAGGTCTCCATCATTAAAGTTCCCCACAGACAGTTAAGTTCTAAACAGGCAGTAAGGTTCTCCAGAGGCAACAGAGTTCTCCTCAGACACATTTACATTTATTCATTTAGACACAAAAGGTCTACACAGACAGTGAAGATCTCCACAGGCAGTAATGTTCTCTACATTCAGTAAGGTTCTCCACAGGCAGTAAAGTTCTCTGCATACAGTATTGTTCTCTACAGACAGTAAGGTTCTCTGCATATCGTAAAGTTCTACACAGGCAGTAAAGTTTTCCACAGACACTAAGGTAAAGTTCTCCACAGACCTTTGTTCTGTCTGTTTGCTGGTGATTTTCAGTCATTTTCAGTGACCTTATTTGGTCATCAGCTGCTGCAGGAGTTGAACTGAAAAACTTTATGCAGACAAAGGTCAGAGCTGCCTTCTTGTGGTCTGGTTGTCATGGCAAATCTGACTCGGCCCTTCAACTGTTCTCAAATCGGTACTTTCCCACACAGAGAACATGTGATCAGACTGAAGAGTTGAACTTGAAAAAAATGTTTCTATGGTTTCTAAGATCTGTGTCACTGCACGTTATCACAGGTAACCGTAGATCTATAGGTAATACTTTTTAAAATTTATTTTACCTTTATTTAACCAGAAAGAAAACTCATTGATATTAAAAAATTATTTTCCAAGAGCGTCTTGGCCAATACACGTGTGTGACTGTTCTGTACTAATACTGTAGTCGTAGGAGTAGTAATGTAGTAAATTCTACAGTAACTCTGCAGTACAATTATAGTAACTGAAGGTAGTGTCCTTACTGTAAATGTTTTCTAACCACCTGGTTAGTACTGCAGTATGACTCAGTACACATGTGTGAGTTGTCTGTCTCACCAACACTAAACATTCCCGTCCTCCTTGAAATACCCAGCATTCCTCAGTGGGTGTGGTTCTCTGTCAGCTCTGCTTTTTAACCCTTTCCCTCTCTGAGGAACCTTTAAGCTCTGCCCTCCAGGTCTTCCTGTTTGTGTTGTTGTTGAATGTCTTTGTGTTCGAACATTTTACTTTACACTTACTGCATACCCCTGTACAGGCAGGAGTAGAGGGAGAACCCTGTCCACACACAGAATATGAAGACAAGAGAGAGTCTTCAAGCTGAAGCCCTTCATTTTGACCTTAAACCCAATAAATGTACTATTAATTATGATTTAATTAAGCTTTTACAGTTGAAACATATTTAAACATATTGACTTGTGAAACTTTGTGTCACCATAAAGAAGCAGTCACATGTTACACTGGACTGTGTTCTCCTTTGGAAAGGCTGTCCCCCCTAACAATCTCCCAAGGTTCCCCCAAAGGTTCCCCCAAAGATTCTAATAAAGATGCTCTAAGATCCTCCAACTAAGGCCCCCTTTCCAAAGTACAGTTTCTTGAATATTTCCCTAATGTTCTCTACTTCAGGAGGAGAACGAGATCCCTACCAGTGTTTTCGAGAAGGATCCTCCTCCATTCCCTCGTGATGAGATTTTGGAGGAAGGCGATGAATCGGCACCGGGTGTCGTCGACGGCGACCATTCCCAGGAGAGCGGGCTCCAGACCATCGACCTATCATCTGATGAGGATGTCGGGCTAGAGGCGGAGCTAGAGGAAGAGGAGGTGTGGCCTCACGATCTGGAGAACATGGAGAAATCCAGAGCCGAGAAACTGAAACGATCCAGTCTGAAGAAGGTGAGAACCAAGACAGGTGAACAGTCAGACAGGTGAACAGTCAGATAGGTGTGTAACTGTCTCTCTCTCAGGTCGACAGTCTGAAGAAGGCGTTCTCCAGGCAGAACATCGAGAAGAAGATGACGAAGATAGGAACAAAGATCGTTTCTCAGGAGCAACGAGAGAAAATCAAACAGAAAACCTCCAGCCTGAAGGTTTCGCCTCTGTCCTTCAGCATCAGGAAGGTAGTGGGATCTCTGTCATTATTGGACTCTGTGAAGTTCCTCTAAGGTTCCACTGACACCAAGTACCGCCAAAGTTTCCTCTAACATTCCCCTAGGTTTCCCTTTAAGCATCAGGATGGTACTGGGATCTCTGTCATTATTAGACTCCAAGAAGTTCCTCTAAGGTTCCACTGACACCAAGTACCCCCAACCAACGTTTCCTCTAACATTCCCCTAGGTTCCCCTTTAAGCATCAGTAAAGTACTGGGATCTCTAAGTAGCTGGTTCCCTTGGCAGATTTTGCAGGAGCTTGGCGGAGCGTTGCCAACAATTCCCTGTGGGTCCTGCGTAACGTCATGGAGGGCTACAGGCTGCAGTTCCGGGTCTGCCCCCCCAGATTCAACGGGGTGGTCTGGACTGCGGTGCACTCAGAGCAGAGCCAGGTGTTGGGACAAGAAGTTCGCTCTCTGCTGGAGAAAGGGGCCATAGAACTCTTTTCCCCGCCAGTCAGGGAGTCCAGGTTCTACAGCCGGTACTTCATAGTTCCAAGA